CCAGGGGCCTATCGCTGCAGAAGCTCTTGAAACCTTTGTTGTCCTCTGCGTGGCGGGAATGTCCCCCTGCGGACTTTGCCGACCCTTCTTCCGTACTGTTCCAATGATTCCAATGAGCCTTGTCGATTTCCGAGCAGCAGGCCGCGCCCATTACCTGGCCACAGCAAGTCTTCTTGAGGAACAACTCAAGAGGAAAGTGTACGATGTGCGTCAGGTCGATAACGGTTGAAACAGCGTCGGCTGTGCACGGCATCCCTGAGAGCCAGCAATGTTCAGGTTGGACAGGCAAAAGTGCCCGATCTCCGACTCACATTGCACGTTCTACTCATCCTGGCTTCGCCGGCTATGGAGAAGTAAATCTGGCCAGCTGCAGCCTAGCTGTCGCCCATGACATTTTGTCGTGAGTACTCAGGTAGTTCTCTGGACTTTGCATAAGATGTTTACACTGCAGGCACTTGCAGCCAGGTTCTGTGGGGCAGCATGTGGCAAGTCTACGCGTGAAAGCTTCTGAGCTGTTGGAGTACGCTGCTCTTCAGTCTGCCATGTGAGCTATGTGGGCTCTTCGCCTCAGTCTCCAAGCCAAAATGCAAGAGTCTGCATGAGCAGGTTGCCGCCCAAAATGTCCGGCCATGCGTGCGGCATGCTAACACCGCTTGTTCAGGCCCCGCGTGTTTCTCTCGCTGCGCTTGCTGCACCAACGTTCCTGGGCCTGGACGCTGTCTTTGTCGCCGGCTCTCTCAATGGCAGTTCGAGGCTACTTCCAGCCCTTCAGCCCTTCAGCCCTCGCCCTGCATTCGCAGCAAGAACTTCTCAGAGGAAAGCAGTATGCCACGGGGGCTCCCATCGTCTCGCCCGCCTCCAACTGAATGCACTATGTAATCGAGCAGGGCAGAGAGAGAACCACGAAGAATTGTGCGCCAAACTCCCCGCACAAGAAGAGCCGTATATCTTTCAACAAAAATTACGAAGCAGCAATAAGTCTGCTCCCTGTGAATACTCCTTGCCAAACCCCAGCCTTCAAACGCAGAATACCGTATGATCCGTATGCCAAACCTGAAACCCGAAACCAACACGCAACGAAACAAATCAACCTTCAACAAGCCTGACATTCCGAAGGGGAATGCTAGGCCGGATAACATGACATGATCTGCTGCTCCACCTCCACCGTGAACTCAACTTGGTACGGATCTCCTGCTTGCACGGCAAAGCCTTCGAAGCACTGGGATTCGCTGGGAATGCTGTGAAAACCACCGCACGAGCCATCGCCCGCCAGCAAAGCCATGCCAATGCCGATGCTCGCATTGGTGGGGATCAGCTTGTCGACAGCATCCTCTTGGTCAGAGAGTCGTGTTCGTCACTCGCAAATCCGCCAGGATCCGTTGCGGGTGCCTTCGCCAATATGAGGTCAGATTGCTGCTCCGCGGCCTTGGCCTGAGTGTGTCATGTGCGTCATTGTGCGTCCCTAGGTCCCTATGTCCCGTTTGACACAGTTCAACACAGATCCGAAAGCCTTGATGGTTGCCACCTCCTTCGCCAACTCACCCATGCCTCTAATTACAATGGTCTACAGTGTCTGCAGTGCAGCCCGCAGGTGTGAACTATTGCGCAGCCATGCTCTGATGGCCTGTGTTTGCACCCACAATCTGTTCCGCAGCTTTCTTGGCTTCCCCCAGCTCGACCTGAAGCTTCCAATCTGCACAGCACCGTCTTTTTGCCAACGTGAGCGCGTACTCCAGTTCCGCCTCGATTCCCCGGATTTGATTGGCAAATTCGCCAACTTTGTGGGCGGTGTCTTGGATGTTCTTGATCTGGGACAGCCATGATCATGATAGACCATGCAAAATGTGAGCGGCGCAGCTGTACAACTGGAAGTGCAGACCTTGAGGTGCAAGTCTGCCAGGGCGTCTGTCTGAACCTAGCGTCCAGTACTGCTGCCTCGCCAGAAAGCCCATGGAATCCACACGTGACAGGCCTTCAGCATGTTGGTGACCTCAGGATGGCATGTGCAGCATGCATGGCAAGAGCATCCTGGTCCTTCCAAGCCCATCTGCCTCTTCTATCTGGCCTAAGCCCTCGCTCTTGGAAGCCTCGAACGAGACCAGGTGTCCTGGCACATGTGAGACAAACCCCTGCACATGCATGACAACTTCGATGGCCAGCAAGCTCGTGTCACCTCGAAGACGTCCCATGCAGGGCAGTTTGTCAAGCGCCGCCCGTGGCCAGCGTCCCAATCAACTGCTCATAGAGGCATAAAAACGAAGTAGGTAAGCGACCGTGCAATGGGAACATTACGAGCTATTGCTTCTGCGCATGCACAAGTTTAGTGTGCCCCAAAAAACGTGTGTTGGAGTATCATGTGCTTCTTCGTAGAGCTGTTGCTTGCTTTATTGGATGTCTATGAAGCCCACATGCCAAACAGCCAAACAGGCCATAAAATCAGTGCTGGCACATTTTGATTGAAGACATGGCAAGAGGAGCTCTCAGCCTTAGGAATGCGACGGAATGTGTGACTTTGTCACCTCACGGCTTGGGAGCTTTAGCGCAGAGCAAGCTCTCATTCTAAGGGCCCAATAAGCTCACTGCGAGATCTTTCCTTAGAGTCGATCAGGCGATCACATGTGTGGTAACCATGTCAGCCCGAAGCTACAATCGACACTCCAAGCGTCTGGTGAGCAGCGTTTTTGCGTTTCTTCTTCTCCTCAGCTAGGCGTCCTAATGCATTAATGCTTAGCCAAGTTTTCCGCAGGGCTGCGGCAACCAAGATGAGAACACTGACGTGCGCGTGGGTGACAGATGGCTCGAGAGGTTCTGATGTCATGATCTTTGGCTTTCTTATTCGGTTCTTTTATGTTCTTTTGAAGCCGTGGAACATTGAGGGAAGTTGGAATGGAAGAGCAAATTGCTCTTGCATTTCAAGGTTAGGAAGTCGACTTTGCCAACTGTTCGTGCGTCTTCAGTTCAAGAAGCTTCTAGCTGAGAGTAAAAAGCGTTCTCACTTCTTCCCCAAGAAAGCTGGGGTGCATCCTGTTGTTTTCTTTTTCCGCGTCATTGCGAACACAAGTGTTTAGCTTGAGCAACGGGATAATGATTAGAGCTCTGCTTCTTGAAAAGGAACGACGTGTGAGGACGTCTCGTGTTGCTTAGCTGCCACTTAAAGCGATGTAGGCGCGGAACATTCTAGTCTCCCCCATCTGGCAGGACATCGTTGCTTTATCCGATCTCTCCTTTATGTAGCAGTATTAGGAGTATGCCGTCCGCAGCAAAATCTTGCTGTGAATCGTTGATATCATTGATATCATTGTCCGATAAATGTCCCCTCCATGTGGTATATACGTTCCGCGGCTCAATGGCTGCATATGCTGCCACTATTCTGCTAGGACGTTGCTTCATTCGGCCTCCGGTTCATGTGGCAGTTACAGCGTATGGCTGAAACACAGCAACTTTTATTCGAGCTTGCTTGTGATGAGGAGAGTGCACGGACGACAAGGCAATGTGAAAGGAACATGCCGAGAGGTTGGAGGCTTCGCGCTCTTCTTAGCCGGTGAGATAGAAGAGAAGAAACACAAGACGGGGTTGTGCCGTATGTGCCGTCCATGACTGCAAAACTAAAAATGACTAAGGCATGAACACCCTGCTTCTCTTGGCGGTCATGTTCTTCTGGTGCATCCACCTAAGCCAGAACGTTTCCACTTCCTTGGCCGCTGCACGGGAAGCAAGTGCCTCCACAATTCCAGACGATGTCACCATGAGGTGCTTGAGGCCGGAAGGAACGCCATGACCTCCGGAATGTGGGAATGTGAGCGTCACGTTGCGCCTTCTTCGGAAGTTTGGAAGGTGCGCCTGGGTGTTGGAGACCATGCGCGTTCCTTGCCAGTACAAAGCGCAGCACAAGCAGGTAGGCAAGTCGAAGTAGGCACCAGTAGGACTCAGCAGGAGGTAGAAACGACTTCGCCAAACCCCGAGCGCCCCAAAATGCCCAGTCCTTCTGTGCCGCTTCATGAGCAGGTGCGCTTTGTCCAAATCATCCCTTAAGGCACTTGCTTCGACGCTTTGCTTCTCCCATATTCCTCTCCCGGATTCCTCTCCCACTGATTCCCACTCTTCCACTTCGAGCTGCCCAACAAAAAACTCATGAGCTCACGAGTAGGTCCGGTGCTCATCTGTCGCATTATGCAGGAACAAGTCAAAGTGCTGCTGCGCGTACCTCAATCTAGCACCACTTTCAAGCCGTGGCGTTTTCCCAAGAATCCACCCAGCTCCCGAAATCACTGAATTGTCTCCAAGTGCTGCTTCAGAAGAGCTTTCTTGCCACCTTCTTCAGTCATTTCCTGTTCATTGAGTGCACCATGCTCAAGTTATCTCGAACCGGTCCCCACCCTGCTCCATTAGCTCGAACGTAACAAGGCACTGGCTCCTCAGAGAGTTCTCTTTCCATCGGCAGTATGTAGATGCGCCATGCTGGAAATACGATCAGCACCAGGATCACCGACCTGATCAACTAGGCGTCACAAGCAGCATGAGATGCTTGGGAGCTGCAGTCACCGAACGGCATGCTGCATCTCAGAATGCGGGCATCACCATCTTCGAGATGAGGGGCGGGCCTCTGTCAATTCCAAGCCCTGAAGATTTGCTTTCTTACAGCAAGATGTGTGGCCATATGGTGCTTGGGGGAGACTGGCGCGCGCCGCGCTGTCATGCGATTGTGTCAATCCGCCCTGTGCCCACCACGACCCGCCGCTGGCGACCTTCCCAATGTCCAACCGTTGCCACTCTCCCTCCACCTCTCCACCCCTTCCCAACCCCCCCCCCCCGACCCCACCCAGCCCTCCACCCCCCACTCCACCTCCACCATTGCATCCCCACGGGGCTGCTCGTCGGTTTTGATTGGATTTGCGGATCGAGTGGGAGCAGGCATCACATGGCATGGCATCACTACACAAGCATGACAGGGCTGTCAGGTGGTCTCAGCCTGGCTTTCAACCTCAGGCTGCGGCACTCGTGCTTCAGTCCTTCTGCCACAACATCAACTGCCGTGTCGAAGCTCTGCCTGTGTTGGGAGCAACTGCGCAAGTTTGAAACTGCGTCGTGCGATCGAGAGGCTCCCAAGAGAATCCGATGAGGATGCCCAGACCTGACCATGCTGCAAATGGCTGCATTTTGCTTGATCAGCACGACCCCACCTGAAATCATCTTCTCGGTCGCTCCTTCTGCAATCTCGGAGTCCTCACCAAATAGGTGGTTGTCCTGTCACATCATCTCGGATGCTGAGTTCATGCACAACCGTGCAAAGTTCTTCCGGCACCCGCAGCCTCTGGCTGCTCTGGCGGATTGCGTTTGGGTAAAATCGATTGACCATGTTCTTGCTTCCAGCTCTCGCCATCACCAAAGGCAGTACCCAACACCACCATCCACCACTCCCACCGCCTCTCACATAAATTGAACTACTCGATTTGCTAGCGTTCGCAAGTTTCAAGCTCGAACTAACAACGAGCATCGCGAGGATCGCTGGGGCATCCGAGCTACGAAGTGAAACTAACAGGCGCTGACCCGAACTGCATTGTTCACCTCCTTAACATTCCTTCGGTTCATTTACTGTACATTACTGTTCCATCGTGTTCCTAGTTTCCAAAGCCCAGCAGTGCTCGCTTCACATTCTGGAGCCTTCGTCTCCGCGGAAGCCGAAACTTGACACCATCGTCGTCGAGGCTTCAAAATGCGCCCAAGCCCAACACCCCAGCTCTCCGCCGTAGTAGCGGTAAGTAGTATGTAAGTAACAATTAGCAAGCAGCAAGTAGGTAGTAGGTAGAAGCGTAATAGTAGTGATGTTGATGTTGATGTTGATGTTGATGTTGATGATGATGTTGATGTGTGATGTGTGATGTTTGATGGTTGATGGTTGATGGTTGTTGGCTGTTGGCTGTTGGCTGTTGGCTGTTCGTTGTTCGTTGGTCGCTGGTCGCTGGTCGTTGGTTGTTGGTTGTTGTTGGTTGTTGGTTGTTGTTGGCTGTTGGCTGTCGGCTGTTGACTGCTGGCTGTCGGCTGTCGTGTTGTCTGTTGTGGGGTTGTGGGGGTTGTTGTTGGGGTTGTTGTTGGGGTTGTTGTTGGGGTTGTTGTTGGGGTTGTTATTGGGGTTGTTATTGGGGTTGCTGTTGGGGTTGTTGTTGGGGTTGTTGTTGGGGTTGTTGTTGGGGTTGTTGTTGGGGTTGGTGTTGGTGGTTGTTGGTGGTTGTTGGTGGTTGTTGGTGGTTGTTGGTGGTTGTTGGTGGTTGTTGGTGGTTGTTGGTGGTTGTTGGTGGTTGTTGGTGGTTGTTGGTGGTTGTTGGTGGTTGTTGGTGGTTGTTGTTGGTGGTTGTTGGTGGTTGTTGGTGGTTGTTGGTGGTTGTTGGTGGTTGTTGGTGGTTGTTGGTGGTTGTTGGTGGTTGTTGGTGGTTGTTGGTGGTTGTTGGTGGTTGTTGGTGGTTGTTGGTGGTTGTTGGTGGTTGTTGGTGGTTGATGGTGGTTGCTGGTGCTTGTTGGTGGTTGTTGGTGGTTGTTGGTGGTTGTTGGTGGTTGTTGGTGGTTGTTGGTGGTTGTTGGTGGTTGTTGGTGCTTGTTGGTGGTTGTTGGTGGTTGTTGGCGGTTGTTGGTGGTTGTTGGTGGATGGTTGGTTGCTTGTTGTTGGTTGTTGGTTGTTGGTTGCTGGTTGCTGGTTGCTGTTTGCTGTTTGCTGGTTGCTGGTTGCTGGTTGCTGGTTGCTGGTTGTTGGTTGTTGGTTGTTGGTTGTTGGTTGTTGGTTGTTGGTTGTTGGTTGCAGTAGCAGTAGCAGTAGCAGTAGTTGCAGTAGCAGTAGCAGTAGCAGTAGCAGCAGCAGCAGCACAGGCAAAAGGAGCAGCAGCAGCAGTAGCAGTAGCAGTAGCAATAGTGGTAGTGGTAGCGGTAGTGGTAGCGGTACCGGTAGCGGGAGCGGTAGTGGTAGGGGTGGACGTAGTAGTAGTAGTAGCAGTAGTAGTAGTAGTAGTAGTAGTAGTAGTAGTAGAAGTAGTAGTAGTAGTAGTACTAGTAGTAGTAGTAGTAGTAGTAGTAGTAGTAGTAGTAGTAGTAGTAGTAGTAGTAGTAGTAGTAGTAGTAGTAGTAGTAATAGTAGCACTAGTAGTACCAATAGTACCAGTAGTACCAGTAGTACCAGTACTAGCAGTAGTAGCAGTAGTAGAAGTAGTAGAACGCGCTCCGCGCGTATTTGACGCCGCGTCCGTCTGCGTCCGAAGTGCCTTTTCCATCGGTAAAAGCAGCGTTTTTGGGCAGAGTGCTCATTTCCCAACGACGACGCCAATTACAGGAATTTCCTGTCTTGTAAGGTCAAGGCTGCAATCTCGGACTTGTCTTCGCTTGTTTCCATGCTCGAATGCGAAAGGAAAGCCATGCCGAAGCAGTCCAGACATAGATGCCGTGTGTGTGGGCAGCCGGGCCACCGGCAGGAGACTTGCACTACCTATGCAGGTAGGCTCATCCGGGAGCTTCAGGAAAAAGTGCAAAGGCATGCGCGTGCGGAACCTCAACGGCGGCTTCGTCGTCTTCGCAAGGACGGTGAGAGCAAAGTTTCTGCCAGGCTGCAGTATAGCGGTGCGCGGAAACGCAAGCAGCAGCCGTGCGTGAAGCGGGCAGACATCGAATCTGAGCGTGAGATCCTGAAAGATGAGGAGAAATGCTACCAAGAGCTGCTGAAGGCTGGTGTCATGGAAAGACCAAAGACATGCAGCCACTGCAAGTCCGACCAAGTCAAGCCGAGCAACACGAAGCGGGGGACAAAGGCGGGTCTTCGCTTCATATCCTGTGCCAAGTGCCACAGGTACACGAACTACGTGTGGTTTTCCCCCTTCCGGCATTGCAGAACAACACCTGCAGAGATCTACGAGTTCCTCGTGGTCTACAGTCGACAGAGCATGCTCCAGAGACCGACAGCCACGGATCTAAATCGCATTCTTGGATGGGGCAGGAGAAAGTTGGGGAACATGATCGATGTCTGTTTGAAGTCGGAGTCTCTCCTGGGTTTCGCGAACAACAGAAAGCGGATTCTCAAGAATGACACAGAAGTTGATGCGCATGCGCTCAAACGCTTTTACGTGTCAGGCAGGAATCCACACTTTCAGCATCTTCAGAAGATATATGGTGCAGAGCGTGGACCAGAAGTGTTCCAGTGCCACGTGCGCCTGGCCGGCATCTGTGTCCGTGGGGGCGCGCTATGTGTCAGTATGCTGCCGTCCAAGTTGGTGTCCAAGAAAGCCCCACCGCCGCCGGAGTCCCTGCAGGTTTTTGTTTTGGAAAGCTGAAACCCCTAAACCCTAAACCCTCAAGAGCATTTTGTAAGTGCAACTGTCGTCTGCGACTGCTGGGAGGACGTGGTTTCCAGCAAGATCTTGAACAAGGTCTGTGTGTCGAAGAAGCGTGCGGTGTACACAGATGGTAACTCTTGCTACACTCGGTGCGCAGCCAAAGAGAAGAAGAAGAAACTGCAGTTTCATGCAGTGAGCCACAAGAAGAAGGACTCCTAATCCGAGATGTGGAAGCCCAGACCCCAAAAATCCACATGTTTAGGGCCAGGCCCAAAATCCTAGAAGCGTTTTCATTCTAAGTCAACTGTCCGCATCTCTTGCGAGGAGTACGTCAGAAAGCTCAGCAATGGAAAAGTGGCGGGTACAATGTCAATCGACTCCAGATGGCGTTCACTGGACAAATTTTGTGCAGGCGTCAGAGCGCGAAAATCAGACGGATCCATGAATGGCTGGCTTGTGACGCTGATTTTCGCTTGGCTGTTGCGGCATAACGAGAACATGAAAAGCTTGACGCAGCGGAACTTCCGCGCCTGCTTGTTGCGCGGGCTGAAGATGTACCACAGAAAGTATCACGTGAGCCGGTCCGTGGGGAGATGGGCCCTGTTCACTGGGGGTGATGCCGAGGCAGCATGAGGCAGGCGTGCTGTGTAAACCATACGAAAGTAGCGCAGTTAAACATATTGCAACTGTGTTACGGCCTTGGCATCTGGGGAAAAACGTCAGGGACTCCAAAATGAGTGCCAGACACAGAGATTGCTGCAGCTGCGCGGACACAGACAGCAGCCAAATCGCAGGTCTAGCCGGGGAGCTTGAGTTATGTGGTTTAGGGGTTAGGGCTCAGACTCGTAAGCTTTCAGACTTGGGCTGAAGACGCTTAGAACCTTGCAGCTTTGGGGCCCAGCCTAAAGACTTTGCAGGTCTGGGGTTTAGGCTTAAGAAGCTTGAGTTTCCTGGCTTAGGGTGAGGACCTTCCATGATTCGCAAGCCCGAAAATCGTGAACCCTGAAACTCTAAAGTCCCAACCCAAAAGCCTGAAGGGAAAGATCAAAAGGGCTACACCCTAAAACTCGAAAGCTTTGGGGTGTAGGCATAGGTTTAGTTCCGGCAGCCCCCCCCACATCCTCTCGTCCTGGTAACGGCCAACATGCACCGTGGGACCACCAGGGCTTGAGGTGTGGGGTTAAGCCCTAAGCCCTAAACCTGAAACCCACTAAAATATATAGTATAGATAGAAGAATAATAATAAGAAATATATAAAAAATAATATATATATATATATATACATATTATTTTTATATAATAAATAGTATATAAGAAATATATAGTATATAATATATTATATATATTATATACTATATATTAGACACTATATGGTATGTACAAAGTATAAGTGAAGCGTAGCTTGGTGGCTCTGATACTGTACGGAAACCACCCGCTCTTTGCACCCCTGGCCATGTGGGCTCCGGTTGCAGAGGACCTGGTCATGCAGGCATGGGTTGGGACTGCATAAGCGTTCCGTGTCTGTGCAGATTGGAATATGACCTTCATTCCATGACATGTGACCCAAAAGGTGGCAGCGAGGGTTAGCAGCGTGGCAGAAGAGAGCTTCGGCACGGGTCTCTCTTACGAGAACTGGCGTGACCATGAGCTTCATGAGATTCTTTGTGCACTGGTGCCGCTGTGGAACATTAGGAGCAGAGTGTACGTGGACCGGCCGGACATGGAAAATTTGATGCTGCTCCGCCTGTGCGGCGACGTTCTTTGCACACTGGTCTTCTCTGATGTTCGCATGCTCGAGTACATTCCTGCATCTCTGAGGGAAGTGACGTTCTCAGAGTATCCCATGAGCTTCCGGGCACAAGTCCTGGAATGCCACGGCAATGAGTGGCGTGTTCGGCTTGGGTGCCTGGAAGAGTTGCTTCAGCAGGCTTTGCACCACATGCGAAGTCATAAAGATATCTTCCAGCAGCATGTGTGGAAAAGCTTGGAGCAAGTGTTTGAAGATGCTGCGCTGTTGACTGCCGGGCTGCTGACCCAGCCCGATGTTTCTGGACAGTGACATGTGCGAAGGCCGCGGCAGTATAAGAAGACTTGCTGACTTGAGGGTTTACGGGGGACAGCGCTCAGGACCTCTGCAGCAGACCGAAGGGTGTAGTTTTACTGCAGGCTTGGAATGAAAGAAGGAGGGACGATGGAACATGGACCTTTTGCCGCAGTTTTGTGCATTACAGTTAGTCCAGACAAGCGGCTAGTGCCATGTTTCCTGGCAACGCAGTGTTGGGTCCGTGGCGCTTCAGTGCCGATGCTGGGGCAGATGGGGCAGTTGATGTCAAGACGTCTGGCCCGAGCACAGCAACGGATGAGGAGGGCATCTCTTCGGACTCACAGGACCCGGAAGAGCCCAAAGTAAGCATCGGAGCCCGAAAGCCTGGTAACTAAAGTCCACAATTTTGCAGGAGTCTGTCATCGGCACACAGCCGGAAGAAGAGAGCAGGCGGGGATTTTGAAGAAGGTTAAACCCGACCCGAATATGTAATCCCTAAACTCCAAACCGTAAACCCTAAACCCTGAACCCTAGACGTGAAACCCAAAACCCAAAACCCTGAACCCTAGACCTGAAACCCTAAACCCTAAACCGTAGACCCTCAAGCCTAGACCCTAAACCTGAAACCCAAAGGCCTAAACCCTGAACCCTGAAGCCTAAACCCAAACCCTAAACCTTAAACCTGAAACCCTAAGCCCTAAGGCCTAAGCCCGAAGGCCGCATGTCGAACCGAAAAAGTAACCTGCTGGGAGGCCGGCCAAAGTGAGGAAGACTGCGGCGGGTGGCACGAACATGGTGCCAGCTCCAGCTTCCTGGTTTGTGAAGCTTGACGCCTCGTGGGCGCGCAACGTGCCGGATACCAGCAACATGTTCCTGCGACCGGGAGCCGACGTGACCTTTGGAGGGCATGACATGTACGTAGAGGGGCAGAAACATGCCCGCAAGTTTCGTTGGGGCCGTTGCCCGTGGCACAACCAAAGGGCGATGGTGCCTTGGGCGGTGCCGGACGGCGCACATGCCGGCGACCTTATCTTGATATGTAGTGGGTATTGGGACCGGGACTACATTGGCAGATGCGCCTGCTTTTTCAAGCATGAGTTTCCCCGCTCGAGGATCTCTGAGCTGAGCCCAGAGACAAAGGCGGAGTGGATATCTTTCCGGGCAGCTTTGAGCCGAGGAGCGAGGCCTTGAGCCGAGGAACGGTACATGTTCAAGAAGTAGTCTACGCGTGCACAAGGGTCTCTGCACTAGGCTTTGCTCTCAGGGGGCGTGAAGTCGGTGACTCCAAAATGAGTGCCAGACAAAGAGCACGAAAGTTGCACGGGGAGAAGCAGCGTTGAAAATGAGGGACGGCCCCAAACCCCCAAATTCAAGTGAAGGGCCAACAGCCGTGTACCCTTAAGCCCGAAACCCCAAACCCCGAAGCTTGAAGTGGAGGCCCCAAATTCCTGGACCCTTAAGCCCTAACCCCCAAACCCCGAAGCTTCAAGTGGAGGCCCCAAATTCCTGGACCCTTAAGCCCTCAACCCCAAACCCCGAAGCTTCAAGTGGAGGCCCAAATTTCCTGGACCCTTACGCCCTAACCCCCAAACCCCGAAGCTTCAAGTGGAGGCCCCAAAATTCCTGGACCCTTAAGCCCTAACCCCCAAACCCCGAAGCTTCAAGTGGAGGCCCCAAATTCCTGGACCCTTAAGCCCTAACCCCCAAACCCCGAAGCTTCAAGTGGAGGCCCCAAATTCCTGGACCCTTAAGCCCTCAACCCCAAACCCCGAAGCTTCAAGTGGAGGCCCAAATTTCCTGGACCCTTAAGCCCTAACCCCCAAACCCCGAAGCTTCAAGTGGAGGCCCCAAATTTCCTGGACCCTTAAGCCCTAACCCCCAAACCCCGAAGCTTCAAGTGGAGGCCCCAAATTCCTGGACCCTTAAGCCCTCAAACCCCCTTTGGAAGACCCTTAGCCCTAACCCCCAAACCCCGAAGCTTCAAGTGGAGGCCCAAATTTCCTGGACCCTTAAGCCCTAACCCCAAACCCCGAAGCTTCAAGTCCTGGACCCTTAAGCCCTCAACCCCAAACCCCGAAGCTTCAAGTGGAGGCCCAAATTTCCTGGACCCTTAAGCCCTAACCCCCAAACCCCGAAGCTTCAAGTGGAAGCCCAACATTGCTGGACCCTGAAGCCCTAAACCCCAAACCCCGAAGGTTCAAGTGGAAGCCCAAATTTCCTGGACCCTTAAACCCTAAACCCGAACCCCGAAGCTTCAAGTGCAAGCTCAAAACTCGCCTACCCTGAAACCGAAAACCAGAAATCCCGAAGCTTGAATCCTATAGCCTTAAACCCAAAACCCCAGGTAACCCCCCCCCCAGCCCCAAGCCCCCCCCACCCCCCCAAGCCAAGCCAAGCCAAAGCCAATTTTAATCACAAATTATTGGGGCAAGGCCCTCATGGGAAATCAAAGGCCCTCATGGGAAACCGAAGACCCTCACAAAAAATCGAAAGGCCCTCATGGGAAACCGAAGACCGTGACAAAAAAATCGAAAGGCCCTCATGGGCGTCGCCGTTGGGAATTGGCGGAGTGTGGCATAGCATTCAATGCATGAGCAGAAAACACTGCAAATAGCAGTGTTTTCGCCTATGGAAGAACATGGGAAAACATGCAAAATGAAGGATGACACAGCGTCAAATACGCGCAATACCCCTAGTAGAAGTAGTAGTCGAAGTAGTCGAAGTAGTAGAAGTAGTAGAAGTAGTAGTAGTAGTAGTAGTAGTAGTAGTAGTAGTAGTAGTAGTAGTAGTAGGTAGTAGGTAGTAGTTAGTAGTAGGAGTAGTAGTAGTAGCAGAAGTAGTAGTAGTAGTAGTAGTAGTAGTAGTAGTAGCAGTAGTAGTAGTAGTAGTAGTAGTAGTAGTAGTAGTATTAGTATTAGTAGTAGTAGTAGCAGTAGTAGTAGTAGTAGTAGTAGTAGTCGTGGTGGTGGTGGTGGTAGTGGTGGGGTAGTGAGCACGCGCTCTTCTTAATCTTATTTCGAGCGCTTATTAACTTCGTTCATGCACTTTCAATCACTACCTTCACTCTCTAGATACGACACTAAAAGTACGAAGTGAACAAATGAATGAGAGAACGAATGAAGAGAGAAAACGACACAATGCGAGAAGGAAGCGGGTGAGCCGACATGGAGGTGCCATCAGAATCCTTTTGTAGGAGCTCTTGGGATTCAAGAACCTGCTATCTTGGCAGGGTTAACCGATGATTCCTATCCAGATCGGCAGCAAACAGCAACAACACTCTGGTGTCTCTCCTCAACCTTGTCCAGAATGAAAATCGTGAGAAACGACACGACTGACAGGAAGAGCGCTATGGACTCGGCTCGGGCATTGGCTTTTGCTGCTGATGACTCTTGCCAATGTCGCAGACAGCTGCCAAGTCAGCTTCCAAGATCAAAATTTACGACTCATTGACGGTTCGTGCAGATATGGCAGCGTGCTGTATAGGGGATACTGGAGGCAACCGGCAGAGCTGCAGTAGGGCGCCAGCAACCATCAAGAGGGCGTTCTCCTGACAGAGAAAAACAGAAGCTATCCCATGCTGATGGCAGCAGATGTCAGTCTGCACATGACTGCACTGATCTCAAAGTTCTCAAGCGAGCAACTGCCACGTCGGTCGAATCCTCCTACCACCTCCCCCTGATGCACTGGACGCGAATCTTGTGGCAAGCCTGTTTCTGCCTGTTTCCTCATGTGGACTGCAATATGATCCAGTTCTTATCCAGTTGCAATTGTCTTTGATTTTTCCTGGCCTTAGCTTTGGAAGCTGCACAGATCGCACAATTTCCAGCGAGGGTCAAGCGAAAGCTTGGAAACTTTGTGCACGTGTTTGCAGGCTCTTGGATGCTGTGGGCGACTTGGGCGGAGTGTGAACTCGATGGCTGAAAGCCATCAGCATCGTCTGACGTCGTCTGCAACTTGGGAAGGCGCGTGACTGCACGTGGCAGGTCTCACTACGCTTGCCGGGCCAAACTGCAAGCTGAAAGTTGCAACCACACTGTAAGTGCACTACACCTCGAAAGATCCATATCTAAAAGCTTTGCAGCGACCCTGCGCAGGAGCTGAGAGTGTGGACATGTGTACACTTTGTTCAGCCCATCAGTCATCTGTGAATCGCGCAGCTGACATTCCCCATCGCACCTTGTAGGCATCCGCAAGATTCGCGGATGCATGTGCAGAACGAAGCCTGGTGAGTCAGTCTAAGTGTGTAGCGCCGTAGAAGAAGCACCACGACAAGCCTGTCGGGAAACTGGACAGAAGATTCGCCAGGCATTGCACATTGACGTGAACGGACACATTAAGTCCAGCGCCAAACGTAAAGTAGTTGTTGAGGATCTCAATCACCCTCTCCATCCTTTTTGAAGGCTCCTGCACTTGCCGTCTATGATATCATGCCTCATGAGCAAGATTGAGGACAGGAAGCAATTCATTCGACGCAAAGGGGCCTCCCACAAGCGCTCTAAGTTCACAACAGAGATTGACAGCACGAAGAACCCCACACCTCAGCTTTACCGACGACATCGCGTCTCAAGCACTGAGACCCACGGGAGAAGCCTCAATTGACCTGTGTCATCTGAGCCAGAAGCCGCAACCCATCAAGATGTGACATTGCCTTTTCCGCATCACATGTGGCAAAATCATTCGCATGGCAGCGGACGATTCTAGAAGTTCAACAGTTCAAAAATCCAAAGGCCGCTTGCGCTCTAAGGCTTAGCAACGTTACGACATGAGCTGGCAAATGTCTGCACATGTCTGGATGAGTGCAGCTAAGAAGAGGCTTTGAAAGCAGGAAACGACATCACCGCCACTTCGCTGCTTTTTGTGTTTCAGTCGCAAACACTCCCCAACAACAGCAAGAAGAAGAAGAACAACAACAACAACCACCACCACCACCAGCACCACCACCAGCACCAGCACCAGCACCAGCACCACCACAACCACCCATTCCGTAACATGAGCCATGTTTGATCATGTTAATTTCAGGCAGTTGAACACAGAGAAAGAGCATCGGCATTGCAGAGCTTCATCGCAGAACAACTGCACGCATGGTGAAGTCGACAAAATGACGCATGTGGAATCACACTTGCTCAGCTTTAAAAGACTCGAAGCTGTTTGCCTGCTGCTTTGACCTTGACCTAGCCATCTCACAAGGACCGCGGGCGGTCGTGCCTGGAAGAGTGCGAAAAGGCATCGGACGAGCTTTCATTGCCTCAGCTGCGGTGTCTTCCCAAGCACTGGATGAGAGAGCTGTCAGGACGAAAAGGTATCTGTTGGCAACGGGCGCGTCTTGGCACCAAGCCCTCTTGATTCGGTAGAAGGCCACTTATGGCAAAGCGGAGTGCCTCCACAAACTTCCAAAAACATTTGTGCCTAGGCCCAGTCCCCTGTGCTCTTGAAGATCCGAGCATTCAGCCTACTCAACCTATTCAGTCGTGCCTGCACAGTGAGGAAGGAAAGACTCAAACCTGCGACGTCGTTCTCTGCCTCCTCGGTCTCCTCAGAGAGCTAAATGCCATTCATTCATTATCCAAACGTCGAAGATCAAGAACAAACATCTCTTCGAAGAAGGATGAGTTGACCTCTATTAACTCCAAATCCAGACATCTGAGGGAAGTCTTCTCCACCTAGATATGTACGCAATGAGCAGCTCAGTAAGTTCGACTCACAAAACCTTCACCATCGGCATATACTCGCCTAGCTAGAAAGACTCAAAATTATTTGGAACCAGCCCGTGCGCAATTCTGACAGCTGTTGCCAGCTTTGCTGGATGCATTCCGCGCTTCAGAACAACGACACAGGAGTGAAGTGAGGTCCTCGTCCCACTTCTCCTCGAACTCATCCTTCACGTCATCGTCCATGTGGGAAACGTGTTCTCGAACAATGTCGAAGAAATGATATCTGAGACGAGCGGGCCGGAAAGATGCTCCAAAACTACCCCGCTGAGCAATGCAGTCAGCCATACCCAGATGGAGAATGAATCATCAACTCAGTCTCTCAGGCGCCCACATGATGATCAAGCCAGTGTAGCCTCAGAGTCATCATGAGGTTGACGCAGCGCCCAAATGGGCGTCGCACTGAACTGCTGACTGCAGCTGAGACAGCTGCCTATTGGCACAACCATCAGGGCTTGCAGAGGAGAACCGCTGAAGTACTCCTCGAACATTTTGAACCATGGCTTTTTGGTATTGGGCATCGCTCTCTCACTGCGTGGTACTATCGCATTCCTTCGGCGGAATGCATGTTTGGAGGAGTCCTGTTGGATCGAGCCCCATGCCTTGGCCCAACGCCTATTCTTAACTCTCGTGGATACAGACAAACTCAGGCAAACTCAAACAAGCAAATGACCGAAGCGCCGGGCGTTGATTGTTGCAAACCCAGCAACATGTGAAAACAACACCGACCTTGGACGAGTCCAGGTCCAGGTAGCAAGGCTTTTCATTCATTGAGCAGAGTGCGCAGACGAAGCGCAGCTTGCAAACCTGCATTCTGCAACTCTCCATAGCCCTCGGGGCGGTCGCCAGCTTTTCAGGTTGAGCTCAACCTTCTCCATGTCTGGCCTCGCACAGCGGCACCCAGACTCTTCGAGGTGAGTCTCCAACCCCCCCCCTACAATTTGGAGATTTCTGAATCACACAAGATCCATAGCTAACGCAGTTTAACAATCGCATCACAAAAGGCCATGTGTTCATGGCGCTTGCACACACACAGTCACGTGCCGACTTGTTGATGAAGTTTTGTGGCACCGTTGCAGCTCTGGCTGAGAGTCTCACTCAGCACCGAAGTACTCGTTCAGGGCACCGCTGGTCACCCTGAGTCAGTTCAAAATGCATGGGCAAGGCGCTTTGCAGCATGCAGTGGAACGGGCACACGTAGCCACGAAACCCCCAGAAGAACGCATTATGTTCGTTGTGCTGAGGAGATTGTATTGAAGAACAATCGAGAACATTCGCCCATTCTCTCAGCTAAACCCTCACCGCCGAGAGTCGCCAACACGATCTGCATGCACGTGAGCCAGAACAGCCTCTGCCAAAAGCAAGAGGCCAAGCAAGAGGCCATGTTATGCCATGTTTCATGCTACATCGGTTGGTATCAAATACATTTTGCATCTCAGAGCCAGTGTTTCACCGCAACAGCAGGCCAAAGGGCATTTGACCCATGTCCACGGCAACCTCCATGGGAGGTGAACTGCCTTCCAATCGGGCTGCAGCAGTAGATACTTCTACTGCGCGTTTCTCTCGGGTCTGCCTTATCTGCGCCCTTTACGTACTTACTAGTCGCATTCCTGCAATTTGAACGAGTGCATGCACTAACACGGTGCACAATGGTGCACACACGGCATCACACGGCTTCACAGACTGACCAAGTGCCTTTGATGAAGTGCTCCTCCAAGTTCACAGCTGCTCGGCTGACAGCTTGGCTGCAAAATGGTCTCCTCCACCAAACCATTGCATCCTTGAAAAAGCAGCACCTTGTTTTGCAGATGTTCGACTTGGGAAAGGCTTGCTCCTTGTCCCCTTACTGCTGCCAGGCCTTGCTACTGGGACCCTAAATGGATTGCTGAGATATGTCAACTGAGGTGGACCGGAGACAGACCCAATTCACCAGATAAAAACCTGGAAGGTTCACTAGACCCCACTAGAACCCTGTGACCGACGCAGCGGGCGATTTGGGGAAAGAACACAGAAAGATCACGATAAGCACGCATGTCTCAGTCAGCAGCAGCGCAGAAAATGGAGATGGTTTGGCTGATCACCTTATATAGGGCGCATAAGCGCAAGAGGCAAAAGCAGTTGTGCAACTTTAGCTTTGTCGGAGTGTGAGAAGATGTGAGAAGCATGAGGCCGCGACTTGCCAGGAATAGCGCTGGATATCGCGGTCGGGCCAGTTAACCAAGTAGAACATGAGCATCTGGAACCTCACGCAATCTCATGACGGCAGGGGAAGCAGAGACAAAGCAGAAGGCCACCAAGGCCGCCTGACACAAATCTGCGCCTGTGCGCTTGCAACTGCGCCAGCTTGCCAGAGGGGAAATCGAACAGAACTTCAGCCCCAACTAGACCCCGTTGAACTGCCGATTTCTTGCCAAAAGCAAAAGTTTCTAGCTCGAAGCACTTCGGGCTTTCCCGCATGGAGCGACTTGAGGAGCGATGAAGAAATGGCCACAAAGATCTGAGATGATCATAGAATGCAGATCAACAGTACCAAGTTCCTTTGAGTGTCAGTTTTAACCCCTGAAACGGCACAGCACGCACTGATCAAAGCAAAAATGGTGCCTCTGGATCTACTCGGCGCCGGGAACGACCACATGAGAACTGAGAAGTTGAGGCAAGTGCCCAATGCTGCCCATCAACATAACCTGAGACATCAGTTATGGCCCATGGCATCCAATGAGAGCATACTATGTCACTATATGCAGGGCGCAGGCCACCGCACATGAGCTGCTGCTTCTAATTCTGCAGTGCAGCGCTGTATTTTCCCGTTCAGGAAGTCTGGGCTGCGATGTTCCGACGATTGACAGCACCAGTAGCTACCAGTCTAACAATTGATCGTTGACACTGTCCCACTCTTTCAGGCAAGCCTGCAACTTCCCAGTATTTCGCAGTGGATCAGAAGAAGTTCACCATCGCTGGGGAAACACGAGTCGAGAAGCTAAGCTCAAGAACTTGCGGCGCCTGTATGTTCATAGCATTAGTTGCAATCCACTGTTCGCAGCTGCAGGAAGATGCAACGACAATAAAATGCGCTTTTCACGGGTTCCGCACGGACTGCAATCCGCTGCAGACTTGCTCGGGGGTTACTGTACGTTTGTTTTGTTATTGGCATAGAATTACTTTACATTGCACCTCAGCCCAGTGTCCAGGTCCCCTAGTTCACTGTCAGAATCCATTGTGGGCGCGTCGGCCAAAGGATCACGGGAGAGTGTATTGTTGGACCTGCCTGCACTAATTACATCACTGCATGCTGAATTCGCCATAATAAGGCAATCTGACAATGTTCTTGACTTATGTGGCTGAGATCACATGTCCTCCTTAGCCGTGTACCTTTTTTTTTCAAGAACCCTGCAGGGGCAGCTGTCAGGCCGGGCATCAGCGGCAAGCGACAACTGAGTGCCTTACGGATATTGCAATCGCTACAGGGCTGGACTCCTCCTCCTCCTCGAACTGTCGCAGACAACTCAAAACGTATGGAAGTCTTTACTTGGTGAGCCACACCACACGTCCTAAAATGTAATACGCGAAAACGCTCGAAGTCTAGCAGTCGCGGCGGTCATCGTAAGTGGCTGATGTGCATCAACGTCCTCCGCTGCAGCAGGCACAATCTGCAGAATGGCCAGCAGGCCAGGTAGCGCCTTAGCATGGGATTAATGATCAGTCTGTGATATTGGTGTGTCTGTGTGTGTGCCTACTGCACGCAGCTATCGTACTAGACTAGCCAACTGCAACAGCAAGGGGGCTGCGGGGAGCTCCCGCTTCTTCGAATGTTATGTCAAGATGCTCTCAAATGGCACCATGGCATCATTGCGTGGCTGACTGTGCGTGCGTGTCTGTGTGTGTGTCTTTGGATCCTGGTGGAGATACCGTTCAGTGCAGGGGTCTGGGTTTCAGGAGGTGGGTGGGGTAGGGTTCGTGCCGCATCATCAAAGCGCCAGTCTGGTCATTGAAGGCTTCTCTTTGGCAACACCAAGCCGAGAACAGTCAACAAAGCTTGTCATGAACAGTCCCGCCAAACTCGCACTCGCCATGAGCAGCACGACACCTCGTGACGGAGGCGCACACTTTTTCTGGATGAAATGTGCCACCGTTGCAAGCTAGAAGCAGCATGAAGCAGCCAGAACCACTTGGTTCCAGGTCGGGCAGGGAACGGCATGCCCGTATATTCGTGAATTCGGGCCAGGAAAGCCCCGGGCCAGGAAAGTCCCCTGGCCACGGTGCACTGCACTCCGCACACTGCACTGCATGGTGCCAAGTTGGAGGCATGAGACTGGCATGAGGACATTTCGGCGCAGCTTGCAGCCGGATCGTCAGCGTTTTAAAAAGTTGAGGCAGGACACAGCTTGTAGCATCTCACAGCTGCAGGCACATGCTCTGCACTTGGAAATACTTAGAACGACGGGAACAGACTTGCTGCATTGCCGGGTAATTGAGCTTTGCAGACTCCTCGCAAAGGCTCGCAATGCCGCGTTTGTCGGGAATTTGTCCCGGAACCTTGATGACCACACCTGGCCTGCTTTCTTCTCGAAGCTTGCAATCATTGCAATCTCCTAGCGGGAGAATTGGATGAGCCTACATACGACTTCAGCTGATCCAATTTGCCGAAGAAAAGGCAGCATAGATCAGAATGCGGCATACAAACACATACGTCTTCGGAGCAGGAACAAGTGGCAGGTTGGGCCGCGTTGGGCCATGTTGGGCCATGTTGGGCCCCTGCGGATCTTAGCGACCTGCGTTGCTGTTGCGCTTCATGGCAGCAGCGCTGGTCCCCAAGCTTTTTCTGGCTTCAGCCTAAGTCATAAAGTCATATGATAACATAAAGTCTGAAGAAGCTTTTAGAGGTCGGCCTCTGTGAAACTTAAGCGCAGCACGGAGAGGTAAGGGATGCCATCCGGCGTAGCTCCAAGAAGCGTGCTGCAAATGCAGTACGCCGTGCATGCTGAAAGAAGTAGAAGTACTACCTGAGGTTCGTTGCGCATGTTTGCCAATCTTGCCAAGAAAACACAAAGCAGCGAAGAAAAGGGATACGGCAAGTAAAGGCAGTCTGTTCACGTGGCTGCATGGCATCAGAGGAGGCTCTGCCGCTGCAGGCACATACAAAGCGTTTTCGTTCATCATGAAGGCCATCCTTATCCGCATAGTGCTGTATGTGCTGCCATTGTACATCAGACTTGTACACATGTCCACTCGGATCAAGCCACCATCGGACGCAGGAAGATAGATGGAAAGCCATGCATGTGGACAGGTCCAGCAGGAAAGCCTGGCAAAGCTGAGGTGAGCTCAGATTCTCTCCGGAACCGCCAATCGCCAAGCTCCCCCAAGCTACAGTCACCAGGAACAGCGCCTGATTTAGGTTGAAGCGGATGAGCTCCGGCAAATGTCGTCGCCTCAGGCTTGCATGACTCCCACGGATATGGGTAGCACCTGAAGTGATATACCAATCCACTGGGGTAGCATCGAGGATGGTAAGGCTGAACTTTCTCACGCGAAGCCGGAACTCAGCAAATCGCAAGAACAGAACCACAATGTGTGACTCCGACAATCCCTAAAAATTTCAAGCACTTCTGCGCTCATCCGATTTCCTGGAGCACTCAGCACACTGGACTTGGTCGAAAACGCGTGTTCTCGACGCATCAATGTGGGCTGCTTCTATGAGTTCGAGATCTTCACCTTGATTCACTGCAAACTTCCTGAAAGCTTGAGCACTGTTCTGCTCGATGGGAAAAACCAAAACCTTCAGGTGATACACGCGCAAGTTTCCAAGCAAGTATGTAGAAGTTGCAGACTCTATATCGCAGCCAATGATAGGCTTTCTCGTTGGCACCTGACCTTTCGAAGCCTTTTGCAGGTTCATATATCCAAGCTCCCAGGAGCACAGCATGGCAGCGCACACGCTAGAGGGTGGTTCTGCAGAACATGCTCCGTTGCTAACGCTGCGCTCCAGATGAAGATTGCTTGAACAAAAGGATTCTGCTCTGCTGGCCGAGCCACACTGCAATGGTGGGCATAGCAAAAAGAAGAAGCGGCTGGGCCAGATCAAGCAGCTGGGGGACATCCTGCATTCATCAAGTGATTTGTAGCGCATGCTGCGGCTCGGTGGCCCAGCTCTCGCGCCTTCGGGACCGCAAGACTCCATGCCTAATTGACATGGGCAGATGCGATCCGGGAGCCATCGTGCTTAAGTTATGCATAAGTTGCATAAGTCGTGCATAGCTGAGCATGAAGCCAGGTAGTTGCCTGGCCAGTGCTCTGACACGATGCCCGGCCCGAAGAAGCGCAAGGCGTCCACCACTGCAAGCAAGTACGGCAACCTGGACAGAGACGATAATTGCGAGAGATTGTGAAGTAAGAGGTGCCCGCGAGAGCAGGAGCACCCTCATGCGTAGCTACAGGCCATTGACGTACTATTGACGTGTCTCTATCAAGGGCAAAGCAGATCCCTAGGTGCCTGCATGTGCCTGCGTCACTGTTTTCATCAAAGTGCTAAAGATGCTTACGGGTATGGTACTGTGAGTGCATCGCAAAAGTCTCAAACTCAAGAGGCATTCATGTTGGAGCAACATCCACCTGTTCCATCCTGTTCCAACGCATGACATCATGACAACTCGACATTTCACCTTTCTTAAGACTTTCGTTTGCCGCCACGATGCATAGCCAACATCCGGACAGGAAGAGCATGGTCCGTGTGGCTCTGTGAACTTGTCCTGTGAGAGCGAAGTGGACAACCCTATGCGAGCTCACCGTTGGCATCATTTGCAGCTGCCGTGACTGCTAAGACTGCTAAGACCCAGCACAGCGCAAAGATCCAAATGGCTTTCGGAACCCTGACTCGGGTATCTCGGGTCGAGCGCGCCGCGGAAGGTCTGCTCCCACCCAAGAAAAAACTTCCCAGCTGCTTTTGCAGGGGACAGGCCTTGTGGGTTCATGTTCATGCCCCTGACAGACCTTAGCCTCCTCCGAAAACGACAGAGAAGGCCCTCGATCTTGGGCTCTGGAAAGACCACCCACAATTCCGCAAAAACATCCGGGATCTTGTGTCGCCTATCCCGTGGCCTCAGCCCCAATGCCCACATGGCCTACACGAAAAAAGCAAAAAACGAAACACACAACGTTGCTTTACCGGGAGGTTGCAGCATCCGGCCTTTTGACCCCAAACCACTAGCTTGCCTGCCTCAGAAAGCGCCTGAGCTTCAGGAAATTACCGAGAGCTCGGCTACCACTTGATCGAGTGGCAATATTCAAGGGATCCAAAGCGGATAAAGCGGGCATACGTGAAAGGGTATCAGCTTTGTATGAGGTATCGCTTCGCCAGAGAAACACGCAACATGTAGACGTGTCGTTTCTTGTATTAGGTAGCGCTTCGCCAGGCAACTGCAATCAAACTGCACTATGTCACCCCGTAGTCGCAGGGCATGAAGCCTTCATTCATGACAGTTAAGAACACCTGTCGCTCACCTTGAGACTTGAGATCTGAGCTCTGCCGGCCTCATGGAGTGAACAACAAGCAACACAGCATTGTGTCTCCTTCTGCCACGCTAGCAGAGTAGTTAGCATCTATCCCAGTAGCATTGCTACTCCGGGTACGAACACTTCCCACCGTGCCACCCATGCATGTCCAAGCCTCAAACATCCCCACCCCCAGCAGACATTCGGCCCCGTTGCCTCGGATCCATGCCTGCTGGTGTAGCAGGTTTTGCTGCAACAACATGAAGTGAGCGTTTCCCGGTCTTCAGACGCTGAAAGTTCGGGGGGTTGCACGAGGCGTGGGCCCTCGCCACATGCCAAGTTCCACAGCAGTGGCATCAGACTTCCGGCGCTGTGGTCCCCCGTGCAGCGCCGACCCATGTCGCTTTGTGCGGGAAAGGGCGTCCTGTGGTATCTTACGGAATCTTCCTCTGCTTCGTTGTTCGTGGGTTTTTTTGACACGTTCGGCGGAGCGCGGGGGCGCACCAGTACACGTAAAGTCGTAAAGCAAAAAACTAAAAAACCAATAATGAGATACAACGGGACATGCCAAGATTATCACGGAATGGCTGAAAGCAATGGCTGGAATGCCAAGTTCGCTGGGGAAAGTTTTCTACCGTTTACGATCTCGGCGCCGGCTCTGTAATGATTTAGACCTCGGGAGCTTCATCTCCCACATCTCCGAACAAGCAGGATGCATGCGTTGCTGCATGATAGACATGCCGCTACGCCAATGAGACTGTGCCTCACGATAACTGTTTTGTTTAATTGACACCGGATACCGCAGGTGCAAACCGAGGTTTCTGCTTCTGCTGGGTCATCTGCAGCTCTTGGGTTGGCACTTTACAGGGGCTCAACAGGGCCGTGTGATTGATTCATTGATGGCACGGTTGGAAGCACCTGCTTGGCGCCGAAGCTTCTTCGTTGTTCGGATCCTCGTCCAACCGGGGCGCAGGAGGTCGACGAATGTCTTCCTTGTTTATTGACAAACTGCAGCACGCCTATAACTTCGAACTGCTTCGATATTGCATGATACATCAGAACATATCAGAACTACGTGGCTGGATGGAACAAGATCGTCGGCTGGGGATCGACAAGGTCACCTGGAATGTGGCGATCTTGCGACATTGCCGCACTTGTCAGATGCTCACAATTTCGCAGCCGGGCAACCTGTGACAAGCTCGAGCATCTGAATGGCTTTCCGTGACTGCTCCTGACATGCCCGGGAAGTTTGTCCACAGGAAAAGGGTCCTTCACGAGTGTGGCGCGAAATGCATTCGACATGTTTCCGTGTGTTCCCCATGCAGATGGGGGCTCTGTTGCTACGCCGCACTTTGACGGACAAAGACGTGCTCGCAATCTTCTGGTGGCTGCTACTAGTAGTGACAAGAGCCATCAAGAGCCAACATCTGTTTTGCCAGGGGCCGGCCATCGAGGGGAGGTGCTGAACTGGTGCGAGTTCCTTGAGATTACAGTTAGAAGTTAGAAGGTGCTCAAGAAATGGGTTACAACGATTGCAGACCTTCCAATATTTTGAGGAACCCTCACGTGCGCACCTGAAACCCTCTTGAACTTTCTCGGGTAACATGCGATGATACACGGCACGTCCGCATGGCTTTTGACTAAAAACGAAAACTCAGAAAAGCATGAAGAAGCCGAGCCTCGGCCTGAGTCCTATGGACCCCTGGGGCCGTCCTCTGTAATTTCTACTTTCTCAGGCCTGTCATGGTCTGTGATTTTAAGATCGTTGGCACTGGAGATCACTGGAGCCTTGGAGGTGTTTGAAGCCCCGGCTTCGAACACTTCCGCCCTTGACACGGTTTGTCAAAGCTACGCTGAAACTTGGATGCTTCGGATGCTTTGGAAGATTTTGGAAGCCCATGCGTTAGGCCCGCTTCCAAGCTTCGGGTCAGTCGGACCCGTGCTGTTCAAAGCACATCTCAAGGCCGGAAGGCCTGAAAGTTACTAAAAGGCCTTCCATGGTCTTGGCCAGCCCCTTCCTCAAAAACCCGGCTTGTCTTTTTGGAAGCGACGTACAGCGCCCGAACCTTCTTTCATCTTCTTTCCGAATCGCTCTACACCTTGCAAGTTGTGTTGCAATTTCCTGTGCGAAGCGTTTGTCCACAGGCAAGCGCGTCGAAACTCATTGGTGCTTTCCTCTAAGGCCTGACCAAGCCGAGCCGGCCAATGCAAAGCGTGTACAACAAGAAGCTCCAAAGCACGTCAGGCTTTAGAGAATTTAGAGATGCTTAGAGGCTGCCGAGGCTCACAAGGGAAGTTGCATCAGCACGGCATACAATGCGGCGAAAAAAAGGTAAACAATTCGATTGAAAAACTGGGCAGCCCTGCGACATGGTTGGACTTCTACGTAGGAAACGGGATGGCCTGTTCTTGCTCTAATTGGGCAGCTTCTGTTCGTAGCCTCTGCGCTTCAGCTTTCCTTGGACAAGTGTACTTACCTTTGATTTGCACTGCTGTTGAAACCAGTGTGGCCAAATCGCAGCGCTTGCCTTTCTTCCCAGATGTCACATTGGCGTCCTGACACAAGTCTAAACGTGTCTGAACCCATGCTGCACATTTCTTCACCACTGGGCCTTGGTAGTTTCGGCGAACCCGAATGCGTCTCAGAAGGAACACCGCAGCTGCAGCCTTTGTGACCTCAAAGTTCTGACGTGCTTTGCGTTCTGTCTCTCGTGCAACGATCAACCCAGGATCAACCAAATTGATGCCAGGCTGTTCCAGGCTGTTGAGGCTGTGGCGAACGAGACTCGGATGCACGTCCTGAATCGAAATGGTGAATGAAACCCAAACGAGGCAAGTACTCCAAAGGAGGAGGTGATGAGTGTGATCTCCGCCTTTGTACATGGACATGCCACCAACAGATGCGGGCTATTGCGGGCTTCACAATCACAGCACTTCAGCATGCTTCAGCCAAGCATCGAAGAGGCTTCTTCTGCTGCTTGAAGTCCAGGGACTTGCAGAGGCACGGGGCCCAATGGGCTTCCGGCGAGGAGCCCTCTCCGAAGCCTGCACCAAAATTCGCTTCAGCTGTCTCAAGATGACCTCAAGTTGCCTTGGCACTTTGACACTGCTTTGACACCTCCGAAATCCTGCTCTGCCTGGAGCGCAATCTTCCAGGAATCGACACACAGACAGGCCCAATCCGCTGGGGTCTGTCCATGGTCAGCAGTGCGGCATATATGCTGTTTTTTGACCTACGCTGACTCCGAGTGCTGCCGATGAGCCTTTTTTTGTTCCTCGGCACATGCCTCGTCCGGACGCGTCCGGTGCATGAAATCAAACTTTAACACGCATTAACACGCCTCCCTTGCAAATGCTGTGAGCCGGGCGGCAGCACCAAATCCATGAGTCTCTGCTACCACGAACGTACGACACACATAATACCATCATATACCCTCATTGAGGAAACCAGAGTCTCCAGTCCAGAGTCCAGAGTTTGTTAGTGCAAAACCGCTTTGCTTGCATATCGTCTTGCACAGCATTGTCCGGCATGCACACCGTCGACTGGTGTCAACAGGTTGAGCACTCTACCAGTGCACGCAGCAAGCCCAGCTCTCTGCAGGAAGCCAATCGAAAATCGTTCTCCTGCGCAGAGCCGAGCGGCTCAGACCTCGCAAGTACCGCAACTTCAAATAATCGCAAGCTGCCACGAATTAAACCCAGTACATTGAAGTACTTTCCCATGCAGCGCAACTTCGCTTCTTTTGTCTTACGCGCAGCTGCCGTCATCCTCATACTCTGTGTAGTAGCTGTAGTAGCTATATTCGACACTGTTGTCTCTTACATCTCTAGGCACGGCAGGTTGACTTATGCAAGCCGGTACTCGACTGCCGCCACGGGCTTGCGGCCTGCGCCCGTTAAGCCCGCGTGAATTTCCTATAGGATGGGGCTCTCGGGGCTTCGCAACACGCTGAGCTTGCTGAGGTGTGCGATGGGTCCGGTAAGGAGGAGAAGGCCTCCGCTGCGTTTCCGGCCTGGGTCGGGACCGGACCTGCGCACCTCTCGGAGCTCTCGGAGCTCTCGGAGCTCTCGGAGCTCGTGGAGGACTGGGCATGGGAAAGCGACGAGCTTGACGACCCACCGGTGTCCCCGATCGAGAGCTGGAAGGCCGCTTCCGAGGCACTCTTGGTGCGCTTCGCAGGCACAAGCGGCTCACAGGTTCGCCAGCAGGCTTCCTGGCAGGCCTCCTGGTGCTCCTGCTCCGGGAATCCCTTGGTTCACTCCAGCGAGCCGTCGGAGCTGGCCTTCTTCGCGAGTCTCGCCTGCGCCGCTGGCCCTGGCCCACATGGCCCCAGCTCTCTTGACCGCGGGTGCCACGTCCCCTTCCCTTTGGAGCTTCAATTAAGAACGGCAGGTGAATGCGTCTGCCTTTGGCACAGACTCTCGGCGTGCACCGATGCCGGTCCTCTCTTCCGCACACAGCAGGACAGTCCCGTTCCAAATCACGTGCAAGGCCTTCAGTGTCAGGCACCTTGTTATGCTCCAGGCGAAGCCACAGTGGACGTTTGACATCCTTTGGCAGACCTCTGTCAGCAGCCCGCACAAGGCTTTCAACACCCTTTCGAGTGAAGTCATTGTGACTAAGATGTACTTCTTCAATGGCAGCACAATGTCGGAAGATCTCCCCTAGCTCCTCGGCGCCATCGTCTCCCAAGCGGTTGTTGAAAAGCTTGAGGATCTTCAGCCGATCGGACTTCTTGCAGATTTCAACGATGTCAGGGACAGACTCAGACGTCAGGTCGTTGCGAGAGAAGTCGATCTCATCATAGCTGCCTTTGCCATGATCCCGGGCAATGCGGACCAGGTCACTGTCGCGAAGACGTCGGCCGGACTGTCGCAAGACGCGAGGGCCCCTCGGCTCCGGCTCCGCCGCTTCGCGCCTTGCTTCGGGCCTTGCTTCGGCTTCCCCGGCTTGTGCGCATGCCTTGCCGCTCGGGCTCGGGCTCCTCGGGCTCCTCGGGCTCCTGCTGCGCGCCCGCGACGCAGCGGCGTCACCACTCGGGTTCGCGGGCAACACCTCTTCCGCAGAAGCTCCTGTCACTTCAGCCACCAAGGTGCCGCAGTTTGTATCAGGCTGTTCCGCATCTTCGTGCAAGTTTTCTGAACTTTCAGAACTGGACCATACTTCGCGCTGATCAGCTAGCTTGTCCAAAGCTTGGCCCTCTGCACAAGCAGCCTTCGCGCCACCTTATTGTGTTTGTTTTGCGTCATTGTCATCTCCACCAGAGCATCTACTCATCCCAAGGCCACATGCAAGGCTAGACAACACTCTTTTGATCTTATCCAGGAATCTAACCCCAACAGTTGTGTTGTGGTTAAGATACGTTGCATAACCATCCAGCTTCCAATCAACATGTCTTAAGCCTAGGCGTGTCTCACCGCTTATGAAAAAACTACACGAGCTACCGGGTGCTAGTAACAATCCAAGCATCCATTTTTGTCACCTTCATTTGCCACCTCCGCATCTTGGCTTGTCATCGACTGGGTGCTTGGCAAAGGCACCGCCGAAAATCATGCCAACAGGCATCTCGGATCTGTGGAGGCTTCCAGGGCGTTCAGGCAAGCTGAGTTCGAGCATCGGCCGAGGAATACACAGGAGCACTGATTCTGATGAGCACTATGAACATGGCATCATACAGTCAACTCACCGCGCCCAAGCAGAAACACCTTCAGGATCTTCAGGGAATCTGTTCAAGCCTTCAGCTTCTCACCCTGGTCCGCAAATAGGTTGACTCGATGGATAGGGTCCTCCTGCTCGGAAGGACATAGAAGCACAGCACCACATGTCTCGACATGCACAGACTTTGCCTGCTGTGGTTTAGTTTTGCTACTGCGTTTTTCCAGGCCCGCCGCACGCACAAACTTTGGGGTTGCGGACTGTGGGGACTGCGGACGGCATGGCGAAGGTCGTCTGTGATTTTGCCATGTGTTATAGAATCCTATCAGTTAATTGTGGCTCAACTTTTCGCTGCGTTCGCATGGGCTGTTGCATGGTTCCCAGGACAATTATGCCCACATGCACCATCACCGGCAACACTGATCACGCCAACAGGTTTGTTTGGCCAACGATTGCACCGGAAAACGGCCAGCAGGCCTCTCAGGCCGGCGATTGCACCACGAAACAGCGGAGCGCAGGGGCCAGCAGGTCATTCAGGCCAGCGTTTCCAGCGCAAACAGTGGCCATGTACTGGCCGGCAGCCTCTCGGCCGGCGATTGCGCCGAAAAGTAGCCGGCATATAGAGGCTGGAAGCTTCTCAGGCCGGTGATTCCACCACAGAATGGCGGGCCAGCGGGCTTTCTCGGGCTGGCGAATCTCAGTCATACAGCGGACCACCGCAAAAACAGCATCGAGATGCGGCCAGGCCTTTCCGGGAGGACACTTTGGCGTTTCGCGAAACCGGACGTCCAAAAACCACGACGGCAAGAGCGACACCTTCCAATCAGCACTTCCAGCATCCCCACCCCATCCCAAAGTGTTTACTTGCTGGGCAGCTGGGCATACTCATGTCTACTAAGACTAGAAGTTCCAAGGAAGAAAAGCAGACTCACATTGTCTGCCATCGCAAGCCACACGCTCAATCTTCTTTCCTGGATGGAAACTTAGGTTCAGCTTGTCTTTGTCGCATGACAAATCAGAGGTGGAGTGCGCCTACGATATTACAAGCCGAATCCAGCTTTTTGCAAAGCAAAACTGGTGGTGGGTGTATTTCTCACACATGCGACAGGAACATACAAGTTTAAGAGTTCATTACGAATTTTCGAGCCGCGAAAAACAGGCGAGTAGGACTTGCCACCCAAAGCCCTTAACCAACATAAAGGCTGCGCATGGTCTATGATTCTGGCATGCGATAGACTCAGACAAGCCGAACCCCAATTCCATCCAAGAACAGAGGATTGAGCGTGTGGTATTGTGACACCAGACAAGGCGTGCCTTGCCTATTTTGCCTTTGACTATCTTGCCTTTAAGCCCTTGGTCGGACAGCTACCTTTCTCTCCATGTTCCAGTCACTCGCATACGATGTGCGACTCTGTGCGACTGTGCCACCTGAAAGTGCGCGGTACTGACATCAGGCAAGGCATCCAAGACGTCCTTGCTTTAGGCCTCACAAGAAGTGGACGGAGAAGCCTGACCTAGAACAGTCCTAGAATGCACGTCTTCCAGCCTTGCTTGGTGCAAAGGTGCACATCTATCGCGTGCAGGCCACCTGCGATTGGTCAACAGCTTTGGGGGCAACACCATCTTTGCCCGAACTCAATCAGTTTGTCAGCGCAAGAGTCTTCACAAGACCATTTTGGCTCTCGACGGCTCGCTTGCTCGGTCTCTGTCGCCTTCTCTGGTTATTCCATACTCTTCGATGTTCTCCGAGGTCCCTTCTACATCTGCGCAAACAGCCTTGCAGCTCGTTGTGCGTAGCTTTCTGCTGGCCAGCCTTGCAGCTGTTGACCGGCTCATCCACGCTCCCTGCAACAGGCGAGAACTTTCAAATTTGAATGGACCTCCCATCGTGCAAGGTGGAAGTGTCGCAGCAAGTGCCTCATCTCCGGGCCATTGAGCGGAATGTCAAAGGCTCTGGGTGCGCACCTCCATGTTTGGCAGTGATGGCAGGACTTCGACAGCTCGAGTATACAGATGCTCGAAAGGCGGATAGCTTGACTGGAAACGCAGCAGGAACAGCAAAAAAAACAACGCAGGAAGCTCCTGGTGCTCGCTGTGGCACCTGGCAACTGGGCAACGTTGAACATGTTGAACGTTGTTGAACATGCTCAGCTGCTCAGACCACGTCAGGACTGACATGCCCTGACTCTGTTTCCATCTCTTTGGCCGTGGCTTCTAAGACCACCCGAGCCTTGCCCTTCACACCCGCGCCGTCTTCGTTCACACTCACTCTCGCACTCACGCACTCACTCACTTACATGCAGGTTCCGTTCGCAATGAACGCTCGCATAGAAATTCACTCATGGACACAGCTACCGAGACTTCCGACGAAACAAGGCACGGGAACCCGAACTCCATGCGGCATCTGTCAAGTGTCAGCATCCGCCTCTCATTTTCCGCTAAACATAGCTGTACTCATATTCATACTCGCTATAGTAGCTATATTCAATGGCATCACGCACATCTCTCGACGGTCGTGCATGCTTTGCCTTACTGGCTTGATTCTGTACACGGGTCGCAACACTGCCTCGAGATGCACGGGTCGCAACATGACCCTCATTACCTCTTGCAAGTGGTCTGCCTTTGGATCCTTTGGGTGGTTTCAGCGGACGAGGCTTGGCCTTCGCTCTGAGCTTTGTCACGGCCAGCGGGAGCTCACTCACAGACTTTGGTGATGGCGCAGAGGAGGGGGGGGAAGCAGAAAGCGATTGCCGCTTGGGCGGAGATTGTGAGCTGGAGGCCGACCGCTTGTGGCCCTTGCGAAGCTTTTGAGGCTTCTGCGGCTTCTGGGCCTTGTGTGCCTTGTGTGCCTTGAGGCCCTTGCGGCTGCGTCGCGGTTGCAAAGGCGTCCTAGTCCGAGGCATGCTTCCAGATCGTACTGATGCACTTCTGGTCCTGGAGAGGCACCTGGAGCTCCGAGATCTCCGAGATCGCCGAGATCTCCGAGACCTAGAACGGGAATCCCGGGAATCCGACCTGCGTCGCCTAAAACTCCTTCGTCGCGTCGGAGCTGTCGGCCTTCTTCGCGAGTCTCGCCTGCGCCGCTGGCCCTGGCCCACATGGCCCCAGCTCTCTTGACCGCGGGTGCCACGTCCCCTTCCCTTTGGAGCTTCAATTAAGAACGGCAGGTGAATGCGTCTGCCTTTGGCACAGACTCTCGGCGTGCACCGATGCCGGTCCTCTCTTCCGCACACAGCAGGACAGTCCCGTTCCAAATCACGCGCAAGGCCTTCAGTGTCAGGCACCTTGTTATGCTCCAGGCGAAGCCACAGTGGACGTTTGACATCCTTTGGCAGACCTCTGTCAGCAGCCCGCACAAGGCTTTCAACACCCTTTCGAGTGAAGTCATTGTGACTAAGATGTACTTCTTCAATGGCAGCACAATGTCGGAAGATCTCCCCTAGCTCCTCGGCGCCATCGTCTCCCAAGCGGTTGTTGAAAAGCTTGAGGATCTTCAGCCGATCGGACTTCTTGCAGATTTCAACGATGTCAGGGACAGACTCAGACGTCAGGTCGTTGCGAGAGAAGTCGATCTCATCATAGCTGCCTTTGCCATGATCCCGGGCAATGCGGACCAGGTCACTGTCGCGAAGACGTCGGCCGGACTGTCGCAAGACGCGAGGGCCCCTCGGCTCCGGCTCCGCCGCTTCGCGCCTTGCTTCGGGCCTTGCTTCGGCTTCCCCGGCTTGTGCGCATGCCTTGCCGCTCGGGCTCGGGCTCCTCGGGCTCCTCGGGCTCCTGCTGCGCGCCCGCGACGCAGCGGCGTCACCACTCGGGTTCGCGGGTGGGGCTTCGCCCTCTGGCTTAAACTTGAAGGGCCTCGTCCCAGACATCTCGGCAGCCTTGTCCAAACCGTCAGCTCCATCGTCACTGGACCTGTCTGTCTCTGACTTTTTCTCATCTTCATTCTCTTTTCTGGGAGAACTGAGAGGTTTGCCGCCAGAGTCCTGATACGCAGTAGCGTCCACCTCACTGTCATTGGCGAGCCGCCCAGGCAGGCTTCCTTACATGGCACGGCTTCGATTCACCGAACGCAACACATACAGTCACAATATGTCATACAAGTGTCATACATGACTTGAGATGCTCAAGGTGACGTGCGAAAGATGCGAAAGCTCGCTCTTCTCGAGCCAGGACTCCATCCTCAACTTCTGTTCTCAAAGTGGCTGCTCCAGTACCCGGGTCGCTTTCGCTGCATCGGATTTCGGGGGCTCGCCTGCTCTTGAAATTCATGCCAGGCTGCGTACACTGCGTACACTTCGTACCTTCGCCATAAGCTTCACGCAAGTTGGGGCTAAGCCTAAGCTTGAGAGTTACGCCTGCCAGAGCACCGGAAGGGAGGGCTAGGACTTAGGGACATGGTTAGGGCATGCGGCAGATGCCGGGGAAGGGATTCTCACAGCATGCACAAAGTCACACTGGGTTCAACACTGGGTTCAACTGGATTCCAGAAGCGTTGCGACTTGCATCCGTACTTAAACTTGTGAAATACTTGTCGCCAACTTTGTTGACACTCAGGCCCTGGTGAGCGATGTGGCGCTTGTGGGTGAGGATGGTGAAGCAATGTCAGGCAGGTGGCAATCACGGAGCTAGGACGACCATGGGAGACGTTACATTCAGTACATTGCCGCCGCGGGTTGCGGGGGAATCCTTGGAAGCGTGCTTCAAATTCTGAGCGAGCATCCGTCCAAAGTTCTGAGTCGGCCTCGTCGGAGAAGTCAAGGACCAGAATCATGCTTGTGGAATTGTGTCAACTTTTGCGAAAGTAGGGCACAGCAGGAAGGGACTTGGAGCTCGTGTTCCAGCTAGTGGTTCGATTTTCGCCTCCTTCGTCACTCTCAGCTCTGCTGCCTGTCTTGATGTCGTCCGAACACGTCAGCTTTTGAGCCACAAACCACCTAGAAACACCCTGCATCAAAGCCCTGGCCATAGGTTTTACATGTGGGATGTTGTGGGTAGCCGGCCTTCATCACGGTTGCTCTGGGACCTGGCATGCTTCTTGTACACGATCTGATGCTCCATCTCAGAGAGCACAGCCTGCAGGACCTGAGCAATGCCCAAACCCTCGACCTGGGTAGCCTGCGTTGCTCAACATGCAAACTCAGTGCCTTCGCCTGCCTCTGAATGCCATCATCGGAATGTCCTTTCCACTGGCGTGCCATATGGAAATCAGAAGCATTGTCAAGCTATCATGCTGTTACTCAGCAACTGTCAAAACTATCAAAGTTATGGGCATCAGCACCCCGCACAGCTGGAGAAGAGCGAACGGCAGTCCTGCTGACAGCAGGGCATCAGGCATGGTCAGCGTCTTGTACCTCAGAGCACCGACGCGCCCTCCTATCACGTGAGCATGTGCTCCCATCCAGTGAGGTTCCCGCTTGGGAACCCGGCAACACGTATCGGCGCTGCTCTAAGGTAAGGCCCGCTGCTTGTCCGCCACGGATGAGCATCGGCCTCAAAGCACATTGGCTTGCTTTTGCGGCATATAGGCTTATCAGCTCGACTTTCGGCAATGGCTCTACCGAGCAGTTCATGTTGAATGCAACTGTTCACCACGCAGGAGACGTACAGGTCTTCGCTGGCCGCCCGCGGCTTGTGTCTGCGTGAACCTTGCGGGTAGCTGGCAGCTGAGCATAGCTGAGCTACTGGCAGAACAGGCGCGTTGATTGGATCCTCCAGGCTCCTCAGCCTCGGCCGGGCAATTCACTGACAATCGGACAATTGCAAGCGGGCAGCACAGGACTGGTAGTCCCGTGAATATTCCCGCGACCCGACCAAAACATGTGCCAAAGGTTGGCACGTGGTGTCATGATGTGTCATGGCGAAATGGCATGGTCACATGGCGTGCCCTCTCAGGTCGAAGACAGAGCAGAAATCGAAGCAAGTCTCAGCTCACTGGGCAGCCGATACCTCAACGAGGATCAAAGAGGCTCTGCGGCTCTGCCATCGAAGCGATGTTGGGAATTGAGAAAATCCTAGCTCCTGACTGGACGGTCAAACTCAATAGTTGCCAAAGAGCTCGACCATCTGTAATCGATAGTGGCCTTGGGCCACTTGGCCAACTCCGGACATGTTCATGTAAAATTCCAGAAGTCAGCTTTGTCAAGAGTGTCAGCTCGTGGCTCCCCATCCAGAAACGACACCGCAGCTCTTACCGCAGAAGCGCTTCTGCAGCAAGCAGAGTCCACCTGAACCAGCAGTCCGTGCTGCACCCTTCCATCCCTGAATCGGTGCTTCATTTTCCTGCCTTGATGCGACCAACTCGCCTGATCAAACGTAGGGTACTTTGGGAGGTGTTGGCGATCCCCAGAACCCCGACCTGACATGTTCTGGGCCCACTCTGGGCCCACTGCACAGAAGCCCAGGCAGTGCCCTCGAAGATGGAAGCCTTGCAGTGGACACCTCAGAGGCGAAAACCTACTGACAATGTAAGCTCTCCTTCTGCTTCTAAAAGCTTGCCCCCTCGACTGTTTTGAAATGCCACCTTGCGGAAGGTGATCACAGCATATCACAGCACATCACTTCGCCTAAATACCTCCTTCCCCCTAACCCAACCCTTCCCCGCAGAATTTTGTGACGCACCCCCCCCCCCCCCCCCCAGCCCTGTGGCGGGAGCTGCACCGATGCCGCGGGGTCCCGCCTGTCCATGCCTGGGACCCTTGCCTGGGACCACCTTTTATTTGGAAATATTGGACCTTTTCCAAACTCCTTGGCACAAGGACTGATGAGCTCGACTTCTGAATTCGGGAGGCCACGCTTTTTTCAGAATTCCAGTCCCAAAGAACGTTTCTTTAAAAGGTTCATGCCTCCCAAAGACTTCGTTCAGGGGTCCGCCCTCCTCCACCTCCCAAATCTGACGCCATGGATGCACTGTCATAACTGTCATACTTGCGCTCCGGTGCGGGCAGCAAACGCTCAAGGACGAGGCAACTGGCAGTCGGCTTGGAGCACGGTACCCTAAGCATGGCCTCGAAGATTAACATGACCTCCCCCCCCCGAATCGCCCACACTCGCTAGGACTAAACAGCTAGCTATATTTCTAGACCCAGCTTCCATACTTTCACCTGTCGAACTCGTTGTCTTGCCCCAACAAAGCTCAGATGCGAACATACGGGCTTGCCGGAGACTTCATCCTTCTTGTGCAAGAGGCATGCTTGGTATGCACGTGCTTGTAGAAGGTTGCAGACGCCCGCGCCTCAACCTCCAGCGTCACCTCTGCACCACTTGCGGGTTTGGATGCTGGTTGAGCTCCTTGAACTTCATCACGAGATGTCACTGGAGCATCTGGAGCTGGCGCTTCGCCCAAACATCGAAGATGCTGTGCCTCAACTTTTGACATGTTCTACCAGTGTTCTACCTGAACACTACTTCACACACACGGAAAGAAAAAAGTATGCTCTTAGCTGTTTCTGGTAAGTCATGGCACAAGCATGGTCAGCAGTGTCTGGCCCGAAGAATCAGGCTTGACCTAAGAAGGCACGCAGGGGCCTATTGATGCCTTTAGCGCAGGCGTGCCCTTGCAGTCCTTGCAGTCTTTGATTCTTTTTGTTCAGCTCACAACCGAAGCTGAGAACTGCACAGCCCAGTTTGCCAACTCTGGGACAGTCCCCAGGCATTGCGCCTGTGGTTTTGACGAAGTCCAGAACATGCCACAGCTCATACCGCGAAAATCTGAAATGGATTTGCTGATACAGGAGGATTGACTGCTACAAGAAGAGACCTCAAAAATACTGGAAGCTCGGAGCCTAGCCAGTACTCTGCAATTCAGACGCCCTGCTGCAACGTGCAGGAATGTCTGGCCTGGCGCGCTCCAGAGAAGGATGCCAGATGCGAGGCAGTCAACACCACTGCCCCTGATAAAATGCCAGGAGAGATGCAAGCAGCTGTATGTACAATTGCAGAGACCACAGCTCCGATGCATTTGAGTCACAACAGATGGCGAGCCCCAGTGCAGTTGCCTGCCAGATTCTTCTGGCCTGTGTTGCAGAGCACACAAGGCTTGACTGCAAGAAAACGCTTCAAGCGGTTCGCATCTTTGCGTCTGGCAAATGATTGGCGTACTTCTGCATGCGCAGAGGATCTTTGATGCCAGCCTCGTCAGCCGAACTAGAGAGACAACGGTTCCATGATGTTGTTGAACCCATGAGGCCGCGAAACTCTGAGTAAAGACTGTCGAACTTCTTGGCTCTGCAGACAACGTGCATCAGCCTTGCAGCGGCAAAGCTGAAACATGTCATCGTCATGTGGTGGATACTCTCTCTCTCTCTGGCCCGACTGTGAAATCATCACGCAGCAGCACCATAGGCTGTCCCACAACCCCTCGTGGATCCACCCACGGTTGTGTCCGACACTTCCCTGCTTACCCGAGTTCCCAATCAAGTGAATCGTCTTAAACGCAATGAACATCGATGTGAACAAAGTGACAGGGTGGCTGCTCAACTGATCCATAAATATCCATGATGCACTTCTCTTGAAGACATAGGCTCAGCATGGCTCAGCCCTTTTGAGCTGGACGTGGGATAGTGCAGCATGTGATAAATCTATTGAGCCTCACCGGCCCCGAGCAGCATCCCTCTATTTGTACTGAGCCCGATGTTGGTTGCATACAAATCATAACAACATAATTATACGAAAAAAACACCATACTTCTGGACTTAGCTCAACTTCGGCACGGACGCGAGACAAGTCTGAAACAAGCCCAGGGCGTATCTCCCGAATCCGTGGTCTCCGCTGTGTTAACACCTGGCACGGGCCACATGGTAAAGGGCTTCAAGGGATGCACAAGTACTTCTGCAGCACTTCTGCAGGGATGAGCGGAGCTGACGCAGAAGGCAAGCTAGTTTTGTTCTGTGTTCGACTTTCATGCCTCTAAGGGAACACGTAGATATGCCTTCCAGCCGACATGAAGCAAGTGATGGGAGATGGGTTCCCAGATACACCCATCCTACTGCACCCCACAACTTTTGCTCGTAGCTCAACACGCACTTGGGCACTTGGCCTCTGCTCCCGGTCTCGGGAGGGAACAACTCCCTGAGTTCAGGCAAAAAAAGGTCACTAAACATCACCAACCCTGGTTATGTTGAACATGTGTCGAGAACTGGGATGCAGACCATATTCGAAGGGCTACAGCAGGAAGCCCCTGCCTCGAGTATAGCCGGAACATTTCTCGAAAACTCAAATATTCTCAATGCCAACCGCAAATCAAAGCTGAGTCTCTTGCAGTATGGAACACAGGAACGCGCTTTGGCCTCTCCTCAACGAAAGATCAAGCACGATGCCACTATTCGTTTCGATGACGGACATTTATTGTCGTGTGTTGTAGAATCACGAAGCCTTCCATCGCGTCCGCTGTTCAAAACCTGCGAGCAGGTCAACGTGCTTCAAGAGTGAGCATCTCATTAACGCATCCGCCGCAGAGACATATACATCTACTGCAGACAGTACAATTTCCGGCTCAAGATATGAGGAAAACTCACCGGCGTACTGGCTGGCATCGCGCCAGAAACCTTACGTTCCGCAGCAGCACGCTTCGCTCAAGGAGGCTGATGCAGGCGGGGTATTGCAAGCTCGTGTGCTGCAGTGTCAGAACTGTTTAGGGTGTCTGCCAAATGGATGGACCATGAAGGATTTAGCACTCATGAGCTCTCAGCAACAAACCTTCGGTCGCGCCTCTGCCGCCAGGAGCTTGGCCTCCAGGATTTGCTGCAAGACGCTCCAAGCCTATAGTGCCTACGGTCGAAACAAGCTGGACTTGTGAAGGTGAGCCGTACCATCTGTCGAGGCCGAAGGCATCCGCCCACGAACGTCTTTTAGAACCAAACTCGCCACTGAAACCTTTTCGCCTTCTTGGGCTGTAGGTGCGGGGTGATCATTCTGGCTATGTGAGCCAAACACAGGGGTTTCCCTCTGACCATGGGACCACTTCCGAAGGTGTCTTGGAAGCTCGTCAGCCACCTTTTGCCTGGAGATGCCTGGAGGTTTGTGGAAGCCCGTCCGTTTTAAGTACGGGCTGGAGGACTCCTGGACTACTCTGGGTATGAGGCATGTCATGCCCAGGGCCTTGAGGGGGAGGCATCAACGGTGCAAGTTGGAAGCTTGGCGCGTTCAGCTCTTGGCGGTAGATTCCTTAGATGCTTGCGCCTGCAAGAATGAATGAACTGAGGAGGCAGTTGCGACTTGGAGAACGAAACGTGAGCAAAAAGAGTGAAGTCACTGAAGGACCCGGGAGGCTTTGCATGTGGCAACAGGAAAGGAGCCTTCAAGAATTGATGTATCGAATCAGAAGTCTCATGTCTTTTCATGGCGACCTTTGTTTGTTGACAACAACCAAGCTCCTGCCGAGTCACCTTCATAGCACGAAAGTTTACGGAATGCAACAAACGGAACTGATCAGCAGTCTCAAGCAATCATCGCTGCCTGCAAGCCTTCGCCCAGCGCCAGGCACTTGTAAAACGTCTCCTCCATGCCACCAAGGCAGTGGCGAAAGCACGTTGCACTTCCAGTCCAAACAAAATCTTGCTGGCCTGCCTTTTTCGCACATGGGACTCCGCTGCCTTCGTTCGAGGTGTAGCCTGCAAAGACATGCACCGCACAGCACTGCACCATGGACCATAGCTGAGATCGCGGAACAGCATGCACGGAGCATGCACGGAGCATGCGCAGAGCATGTGCAGAGCATGTGGTCGATGCTGGTACTTGTACACGGAAACAGTGTAGCCACGCTCGGCCTTGTTGTCGAGTTTGTTGGGGGGGAGGTGATCTAGGCACCGAGCGAGTCTCCAACGGTGGCAACTCGGCTCCGAGGTTCTCCAGACTGTGGCGAATGCTTTGGTCACCCAGCACGGAGGCCAAGCCACGACGAAGTCCAGACATTGTCTCGAGCCTTGCATCGTTTGCGAGTCGATCTGCAAAGGCCGAAACAAGGCCTGCAGATCTCCGAGCCCGGTCGTGGACTTCTGAATATTGCACCCCAAGCTTCACGAGCCCTGACCAGGTCGTGGCTAGCTGCTTTAGCAAGGCAGGGCCGCCAATTGAATTTGGGGTCTTCATGCGGTCGTGGACTTGCGCCAGCAAATCATCCCAAGCGTCCACGAGGCTCAAGACATATTCACAGTGAGCAAGCTGTTTTTGTGGCCAGCCCACGCGTCCCAAACGCTCGACCTGATCAACCTGCAGCTGCTTCTGCAAGTCGCGGGCGCATTGCGTCACATGTCGGATATCTGCAAGTCTGGCAACCTTCGCTTGAAGGATCTCCTGCACACGAGCTTGAAGGGACTGCACCTTGCTAACATCAACCTTTGCCAATAGCTCGTGTTGTAGAGCTTCAGAGTCATCGGCAACCGCGAAAGGAACCCTCACTGCCCTCGATGCAGCTTCACGTCGCGGAGAGCAGTCCATACTTCGGAGGTAAATATTTGTTTTTGTTTTGTGCAGCGGGTGCGTGTGTGTTGCGTGACATTTTGCAGTGCATGCTTGTGGTCACCAGGCTGCTCTCGGTACGATGGCTTCTTCAATCAAGGCTTGTGATATATTGGTACAGATAAGTGACGAGGATGTTCTGGTTTTTGAGTCCTTTAGTCCAGAAACAGCAATTGCTTTCCAATACAGCTTGTAGTTCGCAATCTGCAAGCCGTCGAAACCCCCAAGGTACTGTCTAGACAGTGTTGGTTTGACCTGTGGCCGGTCCTTGCCGGTTTCCGTGGTTTGAGTACAGGCTGTGGCTAAGCCGAAAAAGCCGTAACAGGTAAAAACACGTACATGCTGTACCAGTGGCTCCCCGGAAATCCCAAGAAAATGTAACTACTATGCAACATGATCCACTGGTTAGGCATGATGGCGCTGAAATGCACTAAAGTACCAGACTTGAGGGCGCGAACGACAATGCTAGAATGCTTTAATCTTCCAGCTGCTGGTGGTAAACTTCCAACGCATGGTGAGGCTTGGGCCTGGAGATTGGGGGCTTGGGACAAGTCATATATGCCACGACGGGATTCACCAGTTCGGTGTTTACCTCACAAAACGCAAGAGCAATCTTCTTCGCAATTTGCTGACTGGACTAAAACTGCAAAGCACAGTTCGTACGAAAAATCCAGTTGGGGCTTCTTGGCCAGCTGAAGGCTTTAAGCTGCTGAAGCTCAGTCAAAAATGCTCAAGATAACACTGAATGCAGGAATCTTGAAAGCCCTTCGAATCAGTATGGGCCCAGGATGGTCCAGAGAGTGGACTCAGGATTTCCACTTTGGCATCCTGCAATGCGGGTCGCATCTCCGTCAGTTGTTGCTTGTCTTTCAGCCAAACACGGAAGTGTGAAAACATGTGAAAACCAAGAACACTCCGAGCTGTTGGGTGCACATGCCGCGGCTAGCGTTGGGTCATCCTGCTCTCTATTGTGTTCGTGTTCTCCCCTGCCTGAAAACTGGAAGCGTGGAAGTGTTGAGTATGGCAGGAGCTTGGAAAGCAAAAAGGTTGAAATTCCGGTGCGAAAGTTGGGAAAACTGTGGAGATTTTGGCGACATGAAATTCTGGAAACTTTGAAAGTCACATGGTGAACATAAGTTCAATCGTGTGCAAGTCTGAAATTTCTCTGGATATTTACATGCTTGTTGACTTGTTGCCACAAACTCAGCAACTAAGACACGCAATGCACATTCACAACTTATGCATTCTGAATTCATTCACTGCAATCACCCTGCCAAGGATCTGAAGCTTGGCGCGTCACGACGGAATCAATGTATCTCTAATATCCTATCACTTGCTGATGTTGCAAAGGCGATAGGATTCAAACTTCCGCTGGCCTCAGTGGCCATACCGAGACCCACTTGATTGACAGGCCGGATGTGGTTCTGGGCGGTCGCGACTGTCGGTGCTTCAGGGGCGGTCCGTGAGGGTGCAGGGGTAATTAGCAGCTTGTAACTTGTACTTTGTCTGGATGTGTGCATCATGGACCACTGAACCACATCATCATCCTCCAGAAACCAGCTAAATTCAGATAAGCACGGACAAGGTTGCAAGGTTTGGGCCCTTGGCACTCGAACTGACCAACTGCGACCCGTTCCACGCGGTTCCCACTACACAACCTGAAATCAACGCTGCGATAAGTTCCGCTACACAACCCGCGCTTCCGTTTTACATCTCTGTCTGCATTAACGATGCAAGCAAGGCAGTTGATGCGAGGGAGTGCTGGAACGTCGATGTCAGATTCGCTACAGCAGCCGTGTGTGCATCAACTGCCGTGCCATGCATGATGTCCAGACCGGCACTCTTTGGCGATTTATTGCGATGGTGCAGCGACCAGTGCCGGCATGAATCATTAGCAGGGTTGTGAAACCGTTGATACTAAGTTGATACAGCTGTACAGCTGGCTCATGCCGGCTCACACAGCCTGGTCAAGCATCTCTCGAAGCAGCGCCAATGCAATAGAGAACGAGTCATGAGTCATGAGCCTCACCCGACAACATCTCGACCACAACCTGGCAGACTCACCAGCAGCACAGTTTCATCATTGTCAGCATGACACATCATGTCACTAGCTTCAAGTCCAGGCCAGACTACTGCGGTGATGTCGTCCACATCACCACCTTGTTGGATCCAGCGAGATCTCGCCTGCTGCAGAGAAACACCATGAAACACCTATGTATTGCTCTTACTGCGTTCGTCGCAGTGGTCGGGCTTCTGCCAAGCACGTCTTGAAAGATAGGTGGACCTTTACTTCATGACCATCTCTCCATGAACAGCTTCCGCAACAGGCGACGGCGACTTGGTACGTTTCCATGCCCAACGCGTGTCCGACTCCCTAGCTGGTGTCTCTTCTGGTTCTGAGGGGTGGCCATCTTCCTTGCTGTCGCTTCTCTGCGACTCTTTCTGTCTTGTTCCCTTATGTTCCCTTCCTTCTTTTGGTTTTAGAGGGGCTTAGGGCACGATGCTTGGCGCGAGGCGTGCCACATGACACGCACCCCGGAGAGCGGTCTCGATGGGAGAAAGCTGAGTGCGGCACGAAGGGTTCACCGCCCCCCTCCGCAACTCTCTTCTTCTTCCCCTTACAAGACTTTTCCGATAAACCGTTTATGATGAGCGTGGCTCTCTTGATTTCTTCCTGCGAGGGTAACCCCGTGTCACCCGCATGTGCTCTTGTGCTCGATTTCTCCGTCTCTCTTTCTCTTTATTTGGCATGCAAAAATAGTTTTGAACAGTGTTGTCGAGGAAGCAAGATAAGCAAGCCAACGGCATCAGCCAGGCAAATTGAAACTGGCAGAGCGCCTCTGATACGAGCGCTTTAGCTGCGATGCTGGTCCCTTGCAGAGGGCGGGGGAATGGTTAAGGTCAGGACTGAAAGGGCGGAGCTTTGAACACAATTTCTTGCAGTTATAATAGTCGCACAAAGAAGCTTCATCGCACCTTGTTCTCCTCCATTGAGTTTCAAAGCTGCAGCGGTGATGGCAGCAGCCTCTTGCGAGGTCACCTGGACGGTAGAGAGACTTGGTATCTTGGTACCGCACTTAGAAGTTGCCAGATGAAATCCTAGGATCCCAACAAGCCTGTACGTGCCCCGACTGTGCCTTACGCTGCGGGCTCAAACTTTCAGGTTTACCTGTCGGCTGCTCTCCGGCATCTTTTTCCTCGACCTGTGCCACTTGGAAACTCCAAAGCCTTGGCTGGGCCGGCCCAGCTGCCGCGGTGGCGTGACAAGTGTTTACAGTTAGCTTCTTGTGTCGAGATGCAGGCAAGGCCGCTTGAAACGAGGAACCCGATACCATGCAGCCCTGGACTTTTGGGACGGTTTCCACCAAAGTTTGCCTTCTATGAGTGCAGAGTCCTTACTTATCTCAGCGATCAGTACTATGTGCAGGCCTCGCGCCTGCCCTCCGACCTTAAGGCTCCAAATCTTTTGGCACACGCGCTGCCCCGGCAAGAGTGCTTCCCCCATCCTCATCCAGCCTTCTCCCACACGCCATCAGATGCAACAATGATGGCGCTGTGAGAGGGAAGCCTGCAGCTCTTGCCAACATCGAGGGACCAAGCTTCACGACATATGTGACAGAGCTTCGCGCTGGACACATGTGCTGATCTCGGGCTCAGATAGTACGCCGACGCCTCGTGCCTGCCACTCTGCACAGGGGCACTCTGGGCACGGTGCATCGTCGCATGCAAGACCACCACGTGCCACACCATGTCTTGTGAGATCTTGTCGTTGGTTGGCAGCTTCGGCTGAGGCCGCATAACATTTGCAGGACAAAAAACACCTACCTTGACAGTCAATGCAGTAATCACACACACATGTATACACGCACACAATCGCACACATATACACACTAATGTGTGCGTGTGTGCTTATGCGTGCGCGTGCGCGTGCGCGTGCACGCATGAAAGCAAGTGCATGTGCGGGTGCCCGTGCATGCGCGTGCGTGCGCAGTGCGTGCGCGTGTGTGCGCATGCGTGCGCGTGTGCGCCCGAGCGTGCGCGTGTGCGCGCGTGCGTGCGCGTGAGCGTGCAAGCGCGGACGGGCGCGCGCGCGCGCGTGGGTGCGTGCGATCGCCTGCGATGGCGTGAGATCACGTGCGATCGCGTGCGATCGCGTGCGGTCTTGTGCTGTCGCGCGCGATCGCGTGCGATCGCGTGAGTGCGTGCGTGCCTGCGTGCCTGCGTGCCTGCGTGCCTGAGTGCCTGCGTGCCTGAGTGCCTGCGTGCCTGCGTGCTTACGTGCCTCTTGGAAGGGCGTCGGTTTCGTAAGTGAATAGGCTTGTCAACGAAAATAATATATCGTTTAAGTGAACATAATAATATGGGTAAGTATGGTTTATTGCATTTATAAGCATGCTATGTTGCATATTGATTTTGTTACACTCAGTATGTTGGTAGCATGGACATATATTTACAAAGTAAATGATGTATATGGATAGCACAGATATATGTCTAAAAGAACAATTATATATAATTGCACGAAATGATTACGAGTTTAATGTGACTCATTTACGAGACTTAGCTAAACACACTTATTTGTTTTAGCAAGCAAGCTAAATCAGTTTGTTTGTAAAGGAGGAATGGCATTGGAGACCATGCCGAAGAAGCAAATTTTTTTAAACCGTGCACATGGATGCAGGATGTTTGCATGCAGGGTTGTATATATATATATATGTTTGCTCGCTGGCAGTCATGGCACGATCGAGATGCCAAGCAGGGCACGCATGTTTGTGATTGTGGGTATATTTGCAGCTTGTTGCTCAGACTTTTGCTTGTGAAGATTCAGTGCCATCAGTTTTGGCATGATTCCTGCAGATGTTGATCGCCGAGTCAGCATGCTCTTGGACGGTGCCGCCAGTGGAGAGAAACTGGTGAACACAGTTCACCAAGTCATGCAGGTTTTGAGAGATAATGGGCTCGTAACCTCTATGAGACTGGTTCCCTCGGCAGTTGGGGTCCATCCCAAAAATAGGGATGGCATGGGCTTGAATAGCAGTGACGTCCACACTCTCCTTTCGAACCTCCTCGAAGTAGGATTTGTGTCGGAGAGGACACATTGTGTTGCTATCGAACCAGCCAGCGATGAAGAATTGAAATGGAATCAGCAGCTCATCGACAGTTGCCAGGGGCTGCTGGGGACGATGAAACCTCTGCAGACACTGAAGGCATTGAGCCTTTGTGGCAGTCACACCAATTTTGCTCTTCGGGTCATCGCCGACGCTGCCCCTCATCAGGGCCCCGAGAGCGAGAAGGTCACTGTGGGAGGCCGGCTTGATGTGGGGTTGGTGTCCAAGGTCGATGCAGCCCTCGCCGACCATGTTCGGTATGGCTTGAATTGGGAGGTGTTGTCGTCATCGGTGGGCCTTCGCTGGCCAGAACTCTTGCAGAAGAAGACACTGTCATCCCGCCCGGCCTGTGGCAACTCCTTCCCACACTTTTACCAGTTCGCTTTAAAGCTTCTTGTCCTCAGGATTTATCGCTTGCAGGGCTATATAGCTCGCATTGCAGATAGACCTTGTCTGTTGCATGCATGCATGTGAGGTATAATTGGGTCTGCATTTTTTTTGTAGAACAGGTATTGTGGTGGCGCCGAAGGCCTCTTCTTGAGTGAGACGGAGAAGTTCGTGAGGGCTAGGGGCTCCACGACAGCACTCGGCGAGAAGGTGTGGGAGGCGATCTGTCATGAAATCAAAGGCAGCAAGAACCAGCTGCCCTTGTTTCGGCACGGGTTGCTGAAACTCGCCATGACCGGCATGCACTTGAGTGCCACAGATTGCAAGCGTGTTTTCAGCAACAGCTCCATGGTTGGCAAGGCTGTGAAGGCTGACGGGCTCATGTCCCAGCTCCGAACACTGGCCACTCAAGCGAGCCACGGAGCTCCCGCCGAGCAGAACCTTGTGAATGTCTTGGGAGTGGTGGACTCCAACATGGTGGCTCATGTCATGAACATGCAGGTCGCAGATGAGAAAAGATACAGATCTTTGGAGGGCATCTGCCACGATGCTGTCTCGATTCTCGCCAAGGTCCTCGGTGTGCCGATTGCTTCCCTGTGGGAGGCCCATGCCGAGACACTCCCTGCAGCCGAATCCGGAGGGAAACCAGCAGATCGACTCATTGAGCTTAACCCGGACGGGTCCATGAAGCAGCCAGGTGAGATCTTGGAATCCATGTCTATCAAGGCTGGAACATTCGTTCGCCGGAAGAAGGACAAAGTCGAATGCGAAGTTTTGCATGTTGATCATGCTGTGAAGCTCAAAAACCTGAGCGACGGCCGTGCAGTGAAGGTCCAGATCGATGCTTTTGTTCGAGGCGAATGGCAAGTGTATACCCCGAAGCAAGAGGTGCATGAGATCGTGGACCTGGAGCTATACGGACCCCAGGGGCAGTCAGTCCACCCCGATTTCGATATCGCCCACACAGTGGCCAAAATCCATTGCGAGATGCATGCTCTCGTTGAGAACCATGATGTGCATGGCAGCATGAAGATGTTGAAGTTCGTGTTTCGACCTACGAGAAGCCTTGTGACCAAGTCGGCTATCGGCAAGGGCAAACTGATTCTCGTCCCCTTCAGCTCCAAGGTTGTCGCCCGAAGCAGCTCGGACACCCTGCATGGAGCTGCAGAGGTGACTTTGCAGAACGGATGCCACGATCGTCGCTTCTTCATTGTTGCCTCCAACATCATGCCCAAAGCAAGCGAGGAGGCCCCTGACCTGCCCGTGGGTTTCTTGTGCCCGTACTTCATGATCCAGACCGTAGAGGACGAGAGTAAGGCCAACATGACGAGTGTGCTGTCGGGGACCAAGTCATCGGATCTTCGTGTGCCATTGATGAAGAACAGTGTCCCCTTGGCTGCTGGGCAAGAGCTCTTAATCTTCAAGGCAAAGGCCCCCAAGCAGGAAGAGCCCTTAGAGGCAGCATCCCCCCAAAGGCGCCTGAAAGGCAAGCAGGCTGCATGAAGGCAGTGGTTCGACACGAGCATGAGTCCGGGTGACGTGATCCACTGCAGAGCTTTGCTTTGCTGCTGCAGAGCCTCTGGGCGATTTTGCAAGACAGCGACAGAACCTTTCATCTTTTCTGCCAAAATTGAAATGTTGGGTTGTGTGCCTCTGCATGCATGCATGCAGCAGTCAGTGTGGCATGAACATGTGAAAGCATGCATTGCAGCAAAAGTGGTGCTGTTTCGCAGCCAATTATTCAATTGCGCCTGAAACAGTTTTGCGATCACCCCATCGGGCTTGCACATGGCAGATGCAGATCAAGACCTCCACCTTGCCCAAAAATGGGTCGTGACCTTGAAGGGGTGCAAAGCATGGGTTCCGAAGCAGAAGACAGTGAACGAGACCAGCTTCCTCGCATTATCTAAGTGGGATCGCCAGGCCGTCCTTGCCCTGACCGGCAAAGCTCTAGATCTCAGAAAGAACCGAGACGGGGGCAGCTTGAACTCCGATGTTTGGGATGGCTTGCTGGCAGCTCGCCAGGAAGTGGCGGACAAGGCAATCGAAGAAGCATTCCAGACAGAGGACCATGAGGCCCCAGCTGGCAAGAAACGGAAGGCAGTCACCAGAGCTTCCTCGAAGCACGACTTTATGGCACCCCCCATTTTGACTCTGCAGTTCAGGGGCTACTCCTTCCGGGTGCTGTATGAAGGTTTGGGCAGTCACACTTTGTGGGTCGAGGCCTGCGAAGAGACCCTCAGAAAGTTGAAAGAGTTCATCTCTGACTCCAAGCCCCAGCCCCGGCAGCCCAAGGCCAGGGCAAAGAAGTCCCCGAAGAAGTCCCCGATGAAGAAGCAGAAGAGACGATTGCAGAAGAGCGACAGCAACTGAGCCGAACATCATGATCAGTCTAGATATACTGTGCAGGTGAGCGAGGTTCTTGAAGCAGGGCCGGCACGCATGGCGAGGGTTCACAAAAAAAGACTCGGGGCCGGCGGGTGCATGGGAGGGATGGTGCATGCAATATGCTGCATGCAATGCACAGAGAAAGACATATATAGAGATGGCGATGGGGAGGAAGAAAGAAAGAGAGAGAGAGAGAGAGAGAGAGAGAGAGAGAGAGATGCAGCAGAGAGGTTCGTATGTCTTGTCTGTCATGCAGGGCATGCATCGTGATTTCCACTTGTGTGCAGCACACGGCTCCAATGGCGGTTTATGTGTGCATGCATGGGCCAACATACTGTCCTGGCAGGTGGCTGCACACACACACACACATATAATACACAGATGCACATTTAAGATGAAGTCCATGTCCTTTACGATGGACTCCGAGCATGCCGACGAGTTCGCGAAGTTTGACGAGCTGGGCATGCTGGGTACATTCCACCCAGGCAGAAAAGGAGCTTCAGTGAGCATGACATGCATGCATATACTAACACACACACACACACACACACACACACACACACACACACACACAAAACTATATATACCATGCATGGCAGGACGGTGGAATGGGAGCTCGGCATCGCTTCGGTGGAGCAAGGCGCTGGGCTGGAGGGTGGTTTCCATCGAAACCGACCAACCATGGTGGATGCACCCAGATGCTTCCCTGCAAGACCCTCCGGAGACAGGCGACTGCATGTGTACTGCTGAAAATAAATGCTATAAACTCTATAGACCCTAAATCCTAAACCCCAAAGCCTTTATAAACCCTAAACCCTAAACCCTAAACCCTAAACCAATTGTATCTTCTGGCAGGTTGGCTCTTTTGGCTGGACGACGACTGGGTGCCGGCCGGCCTGAGCCTGCACATCCAGGAGGAGGAGCCGGAGGAGGTGTTGGTGGAGGAGGCCAGCTGTTCCATTGGGCCAAAGTATTATAAACCATGCTGGGTCGCTTGCTGCAGGACCCGGAGCCCTCCATGGAAAGCACCGGCATCAAGTTGCTGGAGAGGAAGGAGGCAGGAGTGGACTTCAAGCGAGCACACTGCCCTGCTGAGCCACAACCTAGAAACCCCAACCCCAACAACACCCCACTCTAGAAAGGCCAAGAAGAAGGCGATGCCGAAGCAAGTCCTCGGCTCGGAGTCTCATTCATGTGATTGGCCTTATCTATATTGGGCCAGCTGCTTAGGTCCGGGAGCCCGATCACCCCCCATGGTATGGCAAGGACTGCATGCATGGTGTGCTTCATTTCTCTTGTTCTTTTATATATGTTGCATGCAGGAGAAGTTCGTCGCCCCGAAGCCGAAGATCAAGCAGGGTGCCACGAGGGATGTCACCCCTCGCGACGGGGGCAGGACTGGCCTGCCCCCCCCCCGCCCCCACCCCCGCCACCACCCGTGCCAGTTGTTGCACAGGGCAAGGCAGGGCCCGGGAGCTGCATTGTTCTTTTAGGATTTATATTATTGGTTTAGGGTTTATAAAAAGGTTTAGGGTTTATAGGTTTAGTGTATATATATATATATGGTTATAAGGGTTTAGGGTTTATGTATGGTTTGTACAGGACTTATATAGGGCTTAGGGTTTCTATGGGGTTTATAAAGGGTTTATAGGGGTGGGTTTAGGGTTTGGGGTTTATAAGTTTGCAGGCTCCATGGGCCGGGACCAACAAGAGGAAGTCTGTGTTCCCGGGTGAGCTGTGCAAGCCGGACTCCTCAGGACGAGGCCGGCGACTAGGATTGCCATGCAGAACCTTGTTTGCTTGCATGCGTCATGAGCCCACATCAGGAGAGTATCTGAGGGGCTTCGTCGACAACACGGGCACCGTGTGGGCACCAGGCTCCGGGAGGTCCCGTGCCCGTACCCGAGGAGGGCAGGGCAAGCAGAAGCACCCGGAGGCCCAATAGGGCCGAACCCTTAAAGGAACATTACTTTGAAATGGGTTTATAGCGCCCTGTGTTCATCAACCCTGATATATATAAACCCTAAACCCTATATAAACCTTAACAACCCTCAACCCGGAATTCGAAACCCTACATAAAGGGTTCTCCGGGTTTACAGGGTTTAGGGTTGTCAGGGTTTAGGGTTTATATATAGGGTGTTCTATATAGGGTTTAAAAGAAGGGTTAAGGGCCTATATAGGGTTTTCGACGAGCCGGTCGTGGACCTTCATACCGGTCAGGAACGGGACGATCGCCTGGTGACTGGGTTGCTGCAGCTGGCGGAGACAGTCAACATCCAGGCCTTCTTTTTTTTGTGATCCCCGCACCCCCCCCCACCCCCCCCCCACCCCCCCACCCCTTCCTCACACAACCCAAACGAGAGAATTACTCGTTTGGGTCCCGCAAAAAAGCACCCAGACCCAGAATTTAGGGCAAGGAGGGTTTTTGGGAGAGCTGTGGGGGTGTGCTTCAAGCAAACCCAACCCCCCCCCGCCCCCCCATCCCCACCAACCCCCCCCCCACCCCTCTGGCACAGGCGAGATCCAGCCAGTTCTTCGAGAACCGGGGCTGAGCAGTGGGAACCTTGGTGTGCTCGGATCCACCGATCCTGCTCGCTTTCGTGTCCTGCATGCTTCGTGCCCAGGCACTTCGGAGTGCCAGGGCACAGACGTGTCGGGATCTCAAGTCAAGACTCGGCTGGTAACCAAACCCCTCTATACCCTAAACCCGAAACCCCACACCCTAAACCCTAAACCCTAAACCCGAAACCCTGAACTCTAAGCCCTAAACCCTGAACCCTAAACCCTAAAAGACCGACATAAACACCCAAAACCCTCAACACTTTTTCACCGTGAACCTTATAAATGCTCCTAAACAGATTCAAACACCAGCCCCTTCGAGGCCCGTGGAATCCCTGGGCTGCTCCCGCCACCTCTGCTGCTGCCTCAACATGCATCATATATTCCGGCACACACAGAGCTTCTGGGCCTGAATTTCTTTGCTTGCAGGTGGGAGCAGCTACAGATGAGGCGGCTGAGTCGGGCAAACTGCAAGGGCATATTGGTGCTTCAGGGAAAACCACAGAATTATAGATTGATATGGTTGGGGGCCGGGACCAGCCGCAAGAATATAGATTGATATGCTTCGGGGCCCGGGGCCGGGCAGCAGATTATAGATTGATATGGTTCCGGGCCCGGGGCCGGCCAGCAGATTATAGATTGATAAGTTTCGGGTTCCGGGGCCAGTCGCCACATTATAGATTGATATGGTTGTGGTTCGGGGTCAGTTGCTAATGTTGTAGCAGAGTAGCAGATCAGGCCACTGCAGTCTGCAGATACAAGCATTCGGCCGTCGATGGCAGGGCCCAGGACTTGCTGTAGCAAGCTGCAGACCCTAAACCCTATAAACCCTGCAGACACCACAAACCCTACAAAATCCTGCGCCCGGCCGGAAATTGGACAGCCGCCCCGTGGGTTCATTCGGGTGTCGCACAGGCCGGCTTCCTCTATAACATCCTGCCCTGTACCCTGCCACCCAGACCCTTCAGCTGACCAAAGCCGGCAAGTCGCCCGAATGGCACGTGCATGGGTCCTGGGTGGTGTCGTGCTCATACACTACTGTAATTCCTACATATACTCATAAATAACTAAATACACAAATTGTATATACATACATGTATGTATATATGTTTATATGTATATATGTATATATGCATACATATATGTATATATGTATATATGTATATATGTATATATGTATAATATGTATATATGTATGTATGTATATATGTATATATGTATATATGTATATATGTATATATGTATATATGTATATATGTATAGATGTATCTATGTATATATGTATATGTGTATATGTGTATATGTGTATATGTATATATGTATATCTGTGTGTATATATGTGTATATGTGTGTACATATATACATATATACATATATATATATATAGTATATATATATACATATGTACATATATATATATATATATGTATGTGTATGTATATGTAGATGTATATGTATGCATATATGTACATATGCATACATATCTATATACACAAATATGTAAGAATTTAAATTTCAATATGTGTGTATATATATATATATATGTTGAATGTTTAGGGTATAGAGTATAGGGTTTAGGGTTTATAGGGTTTAGGGTTTATAAGGGTTTATAAGGGTTTGTAAGGGTTTAGGGTTTAGGTTTATAAGTTTATAAGGGTTAAGGGTTAAGGGATGTTTAGTTTGTATTCGGATTTACAGTTTAGGGTTTATATATTAGGTTTAGCGCTTCTGTTGGGTGTTCTGATTCTGTTGGAAACACTCTATACTTAAACACCTATATGTCACCCCTCGACCCTCCAACACCCTGTATAATCCCTTATAACCCTATATGTATACATATATACACACTTATATATATATATATATATATACAAATACGGAGAAGTAGCTGGTGCCTCGAGCCTGCACGAAGCGGCTGCTCCCTTGGAGAGGGTGCTGCTGCATCCAGCGACTTTATGTAATGTGGCTCTGTGTACTTATCTGTTCTTTAAAAACTCTCTACCTGTAGCTGGTGTTTCGTCGCTGGGTGCACCTTGGACTGGGATGCTGGGGACAGAGATAGCTGGCCCGAAAAAAAACAGGAGACTGCAGTGCATTCCATGCAGCCACATGCAGGTAATCATGCACAGGGTGACAGAGAGAGAGAGGCAGAGAGAGGGAGAGGGAGGGAGGGAGGGGGGGAAAAAAAGAGAGAGAGAGAGAGAGAGAGAAAGTAGAGAGTCGAGAGCAAAGGAACGACAAAGATTTTTGACCATGCTGGTGGTGTTGGGTTTGGCGATCGGGATGTCGTGCCGTCATTTCTGAATCGTACATGATGCAATGGTGCTGCATGATGTCATGCTGGTCCTGCTGCTGCCGGTGATGCTTGGTGCTCATGGGTGCTTGTGGTCGTGTGGTTCTTGTGGTGGCCGTGGTGAAGTGAATGCCTGAGATGCACAAGAGCATGCAGAGATTGTTGTGGTTTTTCCATATACATGTCATGTGCTTCAGACTGCCACCTGCTGCAAAGTCGCTTTGCAGGGCACATCTTGCTCGCAAGCAGATTTTCGCAGCCGGCTTGCTCTCGACTGTCGTGCACTGCCCGTGTCCCCGAGCTTGCCCGTCATGGCCGAGCAGCTTCTGGGGCACGTGAAAAGCATCGAGGAGTTCTTGCAGCAGACCTCCAGCATGGCACCGGACATGCAAGAGAAAGTGGCAGCCAACCAGATGGAGCAGCTGTTGCACAAGCTGAGTCTCATCAATGACCTGACCACCGAGCAGGCGACAACATTGTCTGCAGCCTTGAAAGGTCCTTGCTGGACAGCCACCCATCGGAGCACATGGGTCGAGGCAGTGTCGAACAAGATCGCCCACAAAGGCCGGAGTAATGGCAGGAAGCCGACCCAGAGCTTGCTCCACTTCGGTGCCTTCCTGACACCGACCGATGTTGCAGTCTTGGCAGGACATGGGAACCTGTGTGTGAAGCTCGAAACCATGGTGACCCGACGCCTGTCGATCGGCTTGACAAACCCTTCTGAGCAAACAGTCGGGCATGTTATTGCAACAGGCATGCACCATGGCATTGCCTGCACCCCGGAAGATTCGTTCAATCTGGTCCAAGAGTTCAAGAGGCTCTTGAAAAACAAGAGGAAATCGGCTCCGTCTTTCACCGAGCACGTGCAGTCCTACCCCAGCGACCCCAGGCAGCTGCCCACGAAGATTTTCGACTTCGCCTACAGCTCGGAGGAACCGGTGCAGCAAGATCAAGCACAACTTCCTGCATCCAGTGCTAGTGGGCAAGTCGTTCTCCGGAGAAGCAGCAAGGTGGTTCGAGACACTTTGCAGGGTAGGCCTGCACATGTACCTACCAATGCTTTCGCACCGGATGCTGCAAAGACCATGCTCTCCATGATGACAACCCTCATGAATATGCAGTCCGGCATGCAGCAGGGCACAAGGCAGGGCTCGGGCTTGCAAAACTTGAGGATCTTCGGCCCGAATGGGTCGAGCGGTTCGCAGGCATCCAGAAGCCCAGGTATGCTGCAACATGAAGATGCTTTCCAGTCGCCTCCTCGCACAAGTGCAGGCATGCCTGCAGCATCCCCCCAGCAGCAGCAGCAGCTGTCCCCACTGCAGCAGCAGCAGCAGCTGTCCCCCCATGTGCAGCAGCTCTCCCCCGAGCAGCAGGCACAGCAGCAGCAGCAGCAGCAGCAGCAGCAGCTGCAGCAGCAGCTGCAGCAGCTGCAGCTGGCCTTGCCGAGTGGTCAGCAAAGCCCATCCCTGTCAAGAACTTCACCTACATTTCAGACACATTTGCCCAGCATGGATGACAATGACGTCATGGGGGAAGTGGAGAAGTCGAGCCAGCTCGTGACCGAGGCTTTGGAGAACAAGAAGATGGAGAACAAGAAGAAGCCAGCAGCCTCAAAGGCCAAAGCTAAAGCCAAGTCCAAGGCCGAGCTACCCAAAGGTAAGCCCAAAGCAAAGGCAAAAGCCGTTGCTAAGGCAGGCACTAAGGATTCGAAGCCCAAGGCCAAGGCCCAAGCAAAGAGCAAGGGTATGGCAAAGCCGGATCGTGAGCACTTTCGCTCCATGACCAGTGCCCAAAGGATCAAATTGCGCCCGAATGGGTGTGGCAAGTGCCGGTGGAGGCCGGGCTGTTCCCCAAGTTGCTTTGCCTGAGCTGCCTGCCCAGCAAGCCGAAGTGAGTGTGAGTTTTGTGTTTCAATTGAAGCAATGCAGTCTGTGCGACTTCAGCATTCGGTGAATGGTACATCGTGCGAACAATTGTTCCATCTTCGGCAGCAGCTTCAGGGGCAGCTGTTCTTATAGTACTATATCCTATATACTGTGTGCCAGACGAAAGATGTTGCATTTGGTGACAGGGAGTCGCCCTCGCAACTGTGCTCGAAACAGCGTGCATGCATGCTTGCTTCATGGATTGTGTCCTCCAGTTGGCATGCAGCATTCATGGACTGTCCTCGCAACGGATCTTTTTGCGACAATCACTGATGTCAGCTCTGTAGGCTTCGGCTTGCTGATGTGCTGTTGTCACTGTGTTCTGCATGCAGGTCGACAAAGTATATACTGAACTCGTTGAGTCGAGACTAAAGTGGATGCATGCCTGGCTGCCTCAAAGTTTCAATTCGCCGTCTATCTAGGGTCAAACAAACAACTTCAGACCTTTCTTGTTGCTTATAGGGTTTAGGGTTTATATAGGGTTTAGGGTTCTATATTTGTAAGGTTTAGGGGCTTCTATAAGGAAGTTTCGGTCGGTTCTTCACTTCACACGAAATTCTTTTTTTTGTTGAATCCACATGCAGATTCTCGCTTTTGCAGGGCTTCCGTAAAGCTCGCAAAGCAGGGACTACAATGGTTGATCTGGCCAAATTGGGCCGACGATCATATGTCAGTCTCAATGGCCTTGCGAATGTATTGAAAGAGTTGAAAGCCCTGGATAGACTGCCTGATGCATCTTCTCGCGCAAGCATCAAACGAGCCCGGGAAGACGACTGCAAGGTTAATACAGCTCTGGGCCCAACCTTTTCTTCCTTGAGCATCCACATCGAGGAGCTGGATGGCCGGACGGGAACAGCAAGTATTCGAGAGCACAAGCTTCCTTTCATATGCTTGCCAGCTGTGCTTTCTCATGCCATTGCGACATCCGATGGATTCCGAGAGTTTTTCTTGGACAGGCTCAGGGCATGCCCCAATGGGCCCACAAGCCCATGGAAGATGATTGTGTATGCAGATGAAATCACTCCCGGAAATGCTTTGAAACCACTCAACAGTAGAAAAATCCATGCCTTTTATGTCAGCTTTGCAGAGATGGGCGCCGAATTGTCATCGGAGAGCATGTGGTTCACTGTCCTGGCAGCTAGAAGTGAACTCGTCAACAAAATGGAAGGTGGCTTCTCAGAGCTTTTCAAACTCTTCATGGAAAAACTGTTTGAAGGGCCTTTCAACTTGAAGACGGGATGCATGCTGGATTTTGGCCAAGGGAAGCAACATTTGTTCTTTGCATCGCCTGCCATCTTCGTGGCGGATGAATCATGCATCAAGTTTGCATGGGACCTCAAGGGAGCCTCGGGGTCAGTGTGCTGCTTGTTTTGCAGCAACGTCGTTTCCCAGAACAACAGGCTTGATGTTCATGATGCCACGAATACCTTGGTCACCATTGCCGAAACCGACAACTCGAAGTGGCGAGCTCGTGGCGACCAAGTGCTGTGGGCCTCGCATGATCGTTTGGAGACCATTGCTGGTCGTGGCAGCAAGACCGAATTGCAGAGGCTGCAGCAAGCCATGGGAATAAACCACAACTATAAGGGTTTGTTGGGATCCCGCTTGCTTGCACCCTCCTCAACAACCATGTATGACTGGATGCACTGTTATTTGGTGAATGGACTTCTTCAGCTGGAGCTGGGACTCCTGATGCCATTGCTTTATGCTGCTGGACACAGTGTCAAGGAAATCCTGACCTTCTTCAGCTCCTTCGAGTGGCCTCATGGACTGCGACCCCATAAGCGAGAGGTTTTGAAAATCTTCGAGAAGAAGACAGCACCGGGTGATTTCAAATGCTCAGCATCGCAAGGCCTCAGCATATACCCACTCTTGAGGCTTTTCGTGCTTCTCCATGCCAACTCGCTCACTGGAGCCGCTGTCAGAATGGCTTGCGATAGCTTTCTGAAGCTTTGCTTGGTGCTTGATTCTCTGCTGGAGGGGAACAAGGGCAAGGCAATCAGCCCACAGGAGCTGCGATCCCGCATTGTGGCTCACTCGCAAGCATTTTTGAAAGTTCACAGCGAAGATTCAGTGATTCCGACATTTCATTATTCACTGCATTTGCCAGGCATGCTTCATCAGCATCAGAGGCTCGTCTCATGCTTTTGCCATGAACGGAAACATAAACAAATCAAGGCGATCGCAAACAACCTCCACAAAGTCACGAAGACATTTGAGTTCACTGTGATGGAGGATGTCTTGGGTCGTTCTTTCCTGAGCTTGCAGGAATATGAGTTCTGGACAAAGCCTTCCGTCACAAAAGCGAAGCCAGCCTCGGAAGAGCTTGTCGCAGAACTGGTTGCTTCTTTCGGTTTACCACAAGCCATGGGATCCTTAGCAGGCCTTGTGGCTGACTTCCAGCCTGGGCAGACGTGCGAGCAAGGTGACACAGTTGTCCTTGGGGAGGTTGTCGCCGAAGTGTGGCTGCATGTGCAGCTGGCGAACGGTGAGGTGCACTCGCTGGTATCTGTGTGGGAGCCTCTCGGCCAAAATCGTTTCAATGTTCGGGAGCAGCCGACCTGGATCGCTACAAACACGATCGACAAGGCTGTGCTGCACCGAAGGTGCAATGGAGAGGCACTCATTGTGCCATGAGCCCTGCCGGCGAGCAAAATGCCCTGCCTATATAGCGAGCCAGCACAGCCTTCAACTGTTCACTTGCCACATCTCGTCAGCATGTAACCAGAGCCTTGCCTTGAAGTTCGCACCTGTATTTTGCTGCACCAGGTTACATGGCACATTCTTGGAGGCGTCTCATACCCCTGGTTCCGGTGTTGCCGAACGTTTCTTTAGTTATATTTTGTGGCCCAGAAAAGAAGTTAGCATACTTAGACAACTTAAGATAAATCTGCTAAGTTCACATACTATGTGCCTTAACTCAGTACTGCTAAACCAACTTAGTGTCAATCTATGTCTACTTATATAAGTCTGGTATCTGCCACAATTACTTAGCACATTGGCCATGTATTTATTAACCCCGCGGGCTTCCAAGCTGCGTGCCTGCGTGCCTGCGTGCCTCATGCCTGCGCGCGCGCGTTCGCGTGCGTGTGCGCGTGTGCGCTTGCGCGTGTGCCTGTGCGTGTGTGCGTGTGCGTGCGCGCGTGCTGTGGCTGGGTGGGTGGGTGGGTGGGGTGGGTGGGGTGGGTGGGTGTGTGTGGGTGGGTGTGTGTGTGTGTGTGGGTGGGTGTGTGTGGGTGGGTGGGTGTGTGTGGGTGTGTGTGTGTGGGTGGGTGGGTGTGTGTGGGGGTGTGTGTGTGTGTGTGTGTGTGCGTGCGCGCGCGCGCCAACCCTGTTGCCAAGGGAGGAAGTGTGCGTTTCACCGTTAAAGCATGCAGGGGTACCGTCTCACAAGCATGGTTGACGGTCCAACGAAGAGGGCCATGTTTGTGACTGATATGAACCAAGGACGCTTGGTTCGTGTACCTGCCATGTCTGTCTCACCTACGAGCCGTTTTGCAATCCTTTATGAGACTTTGTACCAGGTTTTCAGGATTGAGAGGTGAAACCAAGTAATCAGGACCCGAGACTTGGCGTGGAGATACGCACATGTGTGCTCCAGACAGTATTCGTGTACCGCACTGTCTGCCTGCCTGACAGTATGGTCTTGATTGACCACTCTGAGCTCCCTGATCGGAGCAATTCACTTAGAGACTTCAGCCGTGTTATTCTCTACCCAAGTGATATTGCATGAGTGTTGGTTTGTACCAAGCGCCGGTTGTGCTGTAGTCTTTCGTGTTAGCAGTGCAGAGATGTGGAACACAGAATCCAGTCGTTGGCAGAGTACTGACTGTGAGACGCCTGCAGCGAATTGATTGAATGCCTCAGCCTGTTGGTTGTTTTAACCGGTTGCCGAGTGCTTACAGACGCCTGCAACGATTCTGACATGTGCATGTTCTAGTTGCTCTCACTTTGAGGTCCAGTTTTCTCATTATTTATTGGGATGGACAAGGAGGACGCGTTACATATTTGCCACATATTTGGTGCCGAGTCCAATACTATTGAGGATGAGCCTGCTTGAGCCAAAGCAGAACTTGACTCGAGCTTGGATGGGTTCTGGTTCAGCCTGTCGAGCGTTTGCTGCGCGAGCCTGCTGCTAATTGTCAGCCGAAGCCACAAATTGACACTTCGAGAAATCAGTTTCCGAGCGCTTGTGCTCGAACCTTGATTGATTGAATGCAGCCTGTAGATTACTTGATGCTTCAGCCTGTTGCTGAGTGATTGCAGACTGTGAGACGCCTGCAGCGAATTGATGGAATGCCTCAGCCTGTCAATTGTTTGAATGCCTCAGCCTGTTGACTGTTTAGCCTGTTGTCGAGAGCTTACAGACGCCTGCAACAATTCTGTCTGCTCCAGAAAGTAGACAGGAGTCTACAGGCGCTGAAGACAGACTCCAAACGCTGATTGTGCAAGCTGAAACGGTTTGCCCCTGCTCACGGGGGTGTGTGTGTGTGTGTGTGTGCCAGCCCTGTGACCAAGGGAGTAGCTCGCCTGTGTTTTGGTGATGTAGCTGCAAGGGTTGTTTTCGAAGATTGATTGGTTGAACGCAGCCTGTTGATTACTTGATGCGTCAGTCTGTTGCCGAGTGATTGCAGACTGTGAGACGCCTGCAGCGAAATGATCGAATGCCTCAGCCTGTTGGTTGTTTTAGCCTGGTACCGAGTGCATACAGACGCCTGCAGCGATTCTGACATGTGCATGTTCTAGTTGCTCTCACTTTGAGGTCCAGCATTCTCATGATTATTGAAATGGACAAGGAGGACGCGTTACATATTTGCCACATATTTGGTGCCGAGTCCAGTACTGCTGAGGATGAGCCTGCTTGAGCCAAAGCAGAACTTGACTCGACCATTCACAGGTTCTGGTTCAGCCTGTCGAGCGTTTGCTGTGCGAGCCTGCTGCTAATTGTCAGCCGAAGCCACAAACTGACAGTTCGAGCATAGAATCAGTCTCCGAGCGTTTGTGCTTGAACCTTGATTGACTGATTTGTGCAGCCTACTGACTGGTCAAGAGCGGCGAACCTTGCTGGTCGCCCAGTTGAGGATATCAGAGCGCATGAGATGTGTTCCAGAGGAATGAGTGAATTTTGTCTTTGAATGCTTTCAGAAGGGCGGTTTCAATGCCTTGTGTGGACACGCAGTGCTGCTGAGAGTGTGCTCACTACACAGTTGCTCAAAGACATTCGTGATGCCAAGATTGACATTGACAGTGTTGCAGTAGAGTGCTTGAAGCAGACCGGCGATTTGTACTGGCGTGTTCAATGGCTGCAAGTGCCTCCACTCTTCTGATTGACGGGTGTGTGTGTGTGTGTGCCAACCCTGTTGCCAAGGGAGGAAGTGTGCGTAGCCCAGCGTCTGAGCTTTCACCGTTAAAGCATGCAGGGGTACCGTCTCACAAGCATGGTTGACGGTCCAACGAAGAGGGCCGTGTTTGTGACTCATATGAACCAAGGACGCTTGGTCCGCGTACCTGCCATGTATGTCTCACCTGCCGTTGAGTGATAGCTGAGCCGTTTTGCAATCTTTTGTGAGAGTTTGTACCAGGTTTTCAGGATTGAGAGGTGAAACCAGGTAGTCAGGACCCGAGACGTGGAGACATGCACATGTGTGTGTGATGTGTGTGAGAGAGTGTGTGTGGGTGCGTGGTTGTGTGGGTGCGTGGGTGCGTGGGTGCGTGGGTGCGTGGGTGCGTGGGTGTGTGGGTGGGTGGGTGGGTGGGTGCGTGCGATTGCATGTGATTGCGTGCGATTGCGTGTGATTGCGTGTGATTGCGTGTGATTGCGTGTGATTGCGTGCGATTGCGTGTTGAAGAAGGCAGCCTATGAACCCACAGCAAAGCAGGGCCCACGCGGCCTACGCTCCTTTTCCTTGCCGCAAGCCAACGGCTGAAGGCCTAAGCCAAAAGGTGATGGCGGAGAAGAGCTCAGCCATGCCATCGATGCCTGATGCAGGTTTCTACATCCGTATTTATTTCTTTTGTTGCGAAAGGCGGAAACTGCAGGCTTCGATGGACATGATCACTGTACAGAATCCTTGGTGAAGAAAGTCACGAGGATTGGAGCTCTGTGAGGAAGGAGTTCGTGCTGGTTTGCCAAATCTTGGTAACGACAGTCCCGCTCGAGACATCGCCACATGACCTGGCCCGTCTGTAGCTCAAGCCGACAAAAGGTGCTCCTAAGTGGGAACTGGGCCGGTGAAAACCGCGGTTCAGGAGAGCGAAAACTCTTGGCGTCGTACGCCACGTTGATGCCCATGTCAGCGCGATGATGCCAGCCACGTTGTTCACCCAGCTTCAGGAGGTGGCCGAGCAGAGGATCGCCAGGTTCCAATGGTTCCCCCATGAGCTCAGCAGTCGAAGTCGGCGCAGCGCGCTTGCGCTGTCCTTTTGACACCTGCTTTACAAAAGCAGGGCTGTAGGTGACTGACCATTTGCCAGCTGCCATGATGCTGCGCATGTGCGTGAGATCCATGTCCTTGGTACCGCCGTCTGCAAACATATTTTCCGTGCTTGTCCAACGCAGACTGGTGTTGGGCCTTCTGAGGACACTGCGGAGCCAGGCGATGGTAAAAGCTAGACTTTTCTGGCTGCCGAAACTGTTGGAGTCATTGTTGGACCTGTCGAATACGTCTTTGGCGTCTACGACGGTGCAGAGGGGCACGGAGTTAAGCGAAGAGTCCAGGGTCGACTTGTGCAAGGGAAGTCCCCGGACACTTGCAAGAAATCCTCGGCACAACTGGCCCACATCAAAGGCCTCCTCTGTGCTCAGCGTTTCCGCTGCGTACGAGGAGCGGCACACTCGAGGGATGCGGTGCGACCTCATGTCCAAGATGTTGAACGATCCCGTGCGTCCTGCCATGAGCTCCTCATCAGCCAAGATGATAAAGTAGCAGGCCTGGGAGTACACCTTGGTGAGCGGGGCCTCCTGAGACGAGCCCTTCAAGTCGACGTTGCCCAAAGCAGCGTCCGCAACGGCCATCAGGCCGCCCTTGTACGGGTTCACCCCGCGAAACACCAGCTCAAAGTTGCAGTCCTTCTGGAACTCCCGGACGGCCTGGTTCGCTCTCAGCAAAGTTCCCACCGTAGGCGGAGACTCTCCCTGCAACGATGACACGCAGAAGGAAAGGTCGAAGCGAAGTTGGGCCACCAACCACTGAAGACTTCCCAAGACAGCCCTAAGCTGGCGATGTTCAAAGGGTGTCAGCAGAGCAGCCACATCGGAGCGCCTGCTCTTAGAAAGTGTGACCTCGCGGAGGTTCTCGTGGTAGGTCTTCATGCTCAGGGTGACCGAGCCGTCAGGCTTCTTGTCAAAGAACTTGCCGCACCAAGTGAAGGAGTTGCGGGTGACCTCACGAAACCCCAGCTCGTCTCCCACCTGCAACAGGGACTTCTCAGCCAAGGCATTGCCACCAAGCAGCAAATCATCGACATGACTTATGATCATCCCGCACAAAGTCTTTCGCTCTGGCCCGCTCCAAAGAAACCAGACCGCTTGGTCCAGTGCCGAGCGAACCCATCCGCGCCGCTCGAGGGAGCTGGCCAGCTTTAGCCACCATTGGCGCGGCGCGTCGGCGAGTCCGAACATGCCTTTCAGGACTTTTGCCAAGCAACCTCGAGGTAATGGAATTTCAGGGCCCGTCTTCTCGTTGGTGGGGCCGATATACAACTCTCGGGTGACGAATGGATCGCCTTTCAAGAAAGCCGACTTAACGTCGGCCGCCAAGCGCTGTGGTACGCCACCAAACAAAGTAGAAGGTGTTGGCTCAAACGGCTTCCTGTCGGGGCATCACGACGAATCTCACCTTCAAGGTTCGCCCGGTCTTTGAAGCCAGGCACCACCAACCTAGCACTCGGGGCTGGAGGCAAGTTGGCACCCTCTGTCCTAAGGCCGTCGTTCTTATCGGTCAAGACGAAGCGCGGCGTCATGATTCGATCCAGCTCTCCTTTGCGCGCCAACTCCTTGCGCACGGCGAGGCTCTCTTGCAACGACAACACTTTGACAGCGTCATTGTCCACGTAAGCAGACCAGCCTTTAACTGCGGCCTCCTTCCACAGCGTCCTTTCTGAAGGGGACATCTTGGACCAAATTTTCTCCTTTCGCCCACCAGCGGCACAAACTTCATGAACGTCATCAGGTTGTCCTACGGGTAAAGGAGCACCAAGTCGCTGAAGAAGCTCATGCTGCGAACTCGAAGGTAAGCTCCAACGTCCATCCCAGGTTCCGTGGTCAGGGGCCTTCTCGGACACTGAACCCTGCAAGCGGTCACATTCAACTTGAGCCTGAACTTGTAGGAGTGGATGAAGATCTGCGCCACCTTGAGCTAAGCGAAGAAGCTGTTCGTGATCTAAGGTCAAGGCTTCAAAGGCCGAACGCGCTTCCCCCAACCGCGGATCATTCAGAACTACAGGACCCAGAGCAGCCGGCAAAGATGCAGCGCTAATGGATGCAGGTGGTTCTGTAGAAGGTCGATGGGGATCAGCAGCACCGGCAACTGACACGTGATCACCAGGTGGTTCTATAGAAGGTCGATGGGGATCAGCAGCACCAACAACTGAAGCTTGATCACCAGGTGGTTCTGTAGAGAGTCGAGGAGGATCCGCAACACCAGCGCTCGCGGTAGGAGACACCCGTCGCGAAGAAGGCACCGGCTCCTCCGAAAGCAAAAGAGATGGTTCCACACTCTGGCTGGCGCTGCGCTTGCGTCCTCTCTCCATCAATGAACGAAGCTCGGCGGCAAAGTCGGCCGGCTGGCCTCGAACAAGAGCTTGCCTTCCCAACTCCACAGCCAGCGGCTGTCCCTGAGCTCGTCGAAGGGCGTTCTGCATCACGGGGCGGCGCACCAAGTGACCCACTGGCGTCCCAGGCGCAGCGGTCAAGGGTGGCGCTGCCAAGGTGGAGGGAGCAACCGCGCCAGGCATTGGTGGTTCGGGAAGTTCGGCATCCTCTCTCTCATCAGACTCGGCATCACTGGCCGCCTGACCAAGGTCCTCCAAAGGCGTGCGGCCAGTCGAAGTCAGCTCCTTGATTGCCTCTTCCCAGGCGCCAGCGGACAGCTCTTCAAGCGTAGAGGCCGGGCGCACATGTTCAAGCGCACACTTCGTGACTTGACCTTTGAAGGACAAAAAGGCGTTGGTGACGGCGCTGTCCTCTGAACTCTGCTCCAGAGCCAACACGATTGCCGGGCCGTGCCAACGACGGAGTTCCAGCCTGCGCCGTCTGGAGGAAGTCGACAGCCGCGGATCGCCCCGGCGATTTAGCTTTTGAGCCCTCCAGAAATACACAGTGTCACCTGGCTGTATTGAGCGGGAAATGGTCGGCTCTCGACTTCGAGCAAGTTCAGCACGGCGAATGGCCTTCGAATAATGGAGTCTGATCATGCCGATGCGGGCGCTTTCTCTCAAAGCCATTCGCTGCTGGAGGGACGGCTCAGCATCTATCAACCCGTGCTCCGCCAGCCTTCCAGAGAAATTGTGAAGGACTGAGCCCTGACTGGAGGGCTGTCGACCTGTGACGCTTTGAAGCGGCGTCACGCCTTCTTCATTGACATCTGCGTTATACGCCGAGCAAGCCTCTCCGATGGCATTGGAGATCTCTCGGTCTCCCAGGACGACATTGTCTGTGACGATGGCGGCCACCAGCGTTTTGAGTATGCCTCCTGATCTTTCGGCCGGGCTGTTCTGCCACGGCGCCTGCACGGCGCAGTGCCAGAGGTGCACGGAGTGAGCCGAGCAAAAGGTTTGGAATTCTTCACTGATGAATTCGCGGCCCTGGTCCGCGATAATTTGCCGCGGCGCACCTAGAATGGGCCACCAATACTGCATCATGAAGTCAATCACCGCAGCTGAAGACTTGTTTGGGATGCGGGCTGCCAGCTGGTACTTGGAGACCGCGTCGGTGGCATGAGCTACCACAAAAGGCGTGCCAATGGAATCCTCCACAATCAGCAGGTCCAGGTGAGCCCGCTCCCCAACGGCTCGCGGAGCAGGCAAGCTAGCCACACGGCGGCTTTTCGGACGGCTGCGCTCCAAGCACACATCGCACTTGAGCTCCCGGGCAGCCTGAACTGCCGCAGGAGGCGCACCTGAAAGCAGTAGCGCGCGGGCCAATCTCTTTGGCGCACGATGTCCAGTAGCCTCGTGCACTCGCCTGACCGCCGCCCGGATAGCTGGCGTGATCTCGCCCACGAACTTGGTCTCCGGCTCGTCCTCCGACTCGCTCTGCTCACCCACCTGGAGCTCCTCAGACAAGGCCTCGCGCACGAAGTCCACTGCCCCGCTGGATCCGACCAACTCGAGACATTCATGGCCACCGACTGCACCCTTCAGCTGACAGGTCTCCCAGTCAAATTCCTCCTCCATAGCCGCCACCAGTTTTCGGGAGAAGGCCTGGGGGTATGACTTCACTTCACGTCGCGCATGCTGAGCTGGAAGTTCGCCAGGCTTGCCACGAAACTGATGCACCACGGTTTGGCTAGAAGTCAAAAGTTGAGTCGCGGGAAACCGTACTCGTCGATGTCCAAGGGTTTGCGAGCAAAAACGGCCCAGATCTAGCCCAAAGCAGCGGCAGCGAGGGTCCGCGATGAGTGCACGAACACCAGGAAGACGCCAAAGCAGAGAGCCCGGCGGGTGTTCGATCACGAAATGTCTCCCCCCCCGAGCTGTTGCTTGGCGACGCGCACGGCGAAGCGAGCAGAGGTCGAAAGGTGTTGTAGCTGTTGACGTTGGCGATCCCGGGAAGATAGGGCAACAGAAGAAAACATCCACGGCTCCGAGGGGATGGCCATCGTCACGAAGTAAGGCTTTTCGCGTTGCAGGAGTCGTAGAGCTTGCTGTTGGTGGCCAGGCTGTAGGAATCCCAGCCAGCTTCCGGCCCAAGGTTAGCGCCGGTGATGTGCCCACGAGTTCTGGCACACCGCCCGACCGAGTCGTTAAAGCCCACTGCGTCCGTGCACAGCAGAGGGATCTCCATGACAAAGGCATCGTGGATCGCCTTGCGGTACTGCATGGCCACCTCAGTTAGCATAGCCTGCCGCACCTGACGAGGGGAGCAAGATATCAGCATCTGGTCTCGGCGGTGCTTGTCCCACGCTTGTCGAATGAGCTGGCGCTGCCCGGCTTTCAAAGGTCGTCCCGGTTCACCTCGAGGCATCCTAGCTGGCTGAGGCGAGGGTCCGAGGCCGGTTGCGGGGCCAGCTCCCACTCGTTGTTCATCATGTCCTCGTCGCGGTTCTGGCTCGCGTGCATCTGCATGATGTGGTGCATGACCTGGTTGAGCATGGCCTCGTGGCGGTGTCCCAGCTCCTGGAAACGCTGCTCCATGGCCTGGGTCAGGTGATTGTTCAGCATGGCAACAGTCATGGCATCGTTGAGTGGGCCGCTTGTCGAGGTAGCGGCCGCGGTTGCTGTCCCGGATGGCCCAGGTGACATAGTCCCTGACGATGCGTTCATCGAGGGTCGTGCCGAAGGTCCCGCCAACGCCAGCTCGGAGCGCTCGCCGGAGTCGATGGAAGAGGTCGCCGGCAAAGGAACCTTTGCACAAAGATCGGCCACCAGCGGCCGCAGTTTGTCTCTGATGGTCTGCACCGTGTCCTTGTCGGCCACCTCGGTGTGCAAGAGGGCTGCGAGCTTCAACAAGTCGGCCTTGAGCGTGGGTATCCCCCCTTTTGGCCCAAGCAGCGTACGGGCTGCCCGGAGTCGATCTGTCTCTCGCGCCAATGCTGCTGCTTCCTCCTTGATGGCTGCATTCTTGATGCGGTTCATCCGGCCTGGCTGCCAGCGCGCAGCCAGCATCCCACTCAGCACCGGATCCTCCAGGAACGCAAACTTCAAGCCGACGCGGCTGCGAAACCACGTCAAAGAAGCCAAGGTCCCCTGACTGAACACTCCTCGGCCCAGCCACTTCCGAGGGTAGCATCCATTGGCCACCATGCCATCGACCTGCAGCCGCCATTGCTCCACCGAGGACACAGAGGGATAGGGAAATGGCAACCAGCGCAGCTCGGGATGCTTGACGCACCACAGTCGTAGACCTTCTCGGCTCCAATCGAATCTTGCCACCGCTCGCAACATCATCCTCCGCCACCTGACGCCGACCAAGTCGTCGGGATCCAGGTCGCGAGGTTCCACACGAGCTGTTCTCAAGGGAGCCACCGAAGGCCTCGGAGCCGCCATTGCCCACCGTGGGGCCAAAGGCCGTGGTGCAAGTCGAGGGCTGTGGCTGCTCAGCAAAAGTCATCTCGCAGTTTTGGGCCGAAGCGCAAAGAACAGCATGAAAAGCCAATCTCCCAAGCTCAAGGGTTGCTTCGGTCATGTTGTGGCTGTGGGGTGCATCTTCGGAATCTCTTCTGGGGTTCATGTGCAACAAGTGAGCAGCCCACTCAGCGCACCCAATGCAACACTCGAGGACACCGTCGGCTCCCAGTTTTCTCCAACGACCTTGGGTCACGGCCGGCCACTGCTCAGGGATCAAGGCGAGAGAGAGATGTCCAGCGGCCAACCTTTCCAAGGCCACGGGCGGCCGGTTGGCAAACAACTTGCACGTCAAAGTTCTTTGGCTAAAGTCCAGCACGCCGCCGAGGCCATCCAAAAGATCTCGACCGAGAAGTAAGCCTAGGGAAGAAACAGGCACACATGAGATCCATATCCCAACCAAGTGCCCGGAGATCACTGCTGGCACCCGGTAGCGCGTCATGCTCGGAAGGTTGCCGCCGTTGCCGAACTTAAAGTTCTCTTGCTCCTCAACGGTCTTGACCAGGGCCTGGATCTCGGGCGGGGCCTTCTGCAACTCAAGCAAATAGCCTTGAATCCAATCTTCACCGGCACAAGTTCTATTGCACGCCGAGTCCAAAGCACCAACCAGCGCCTTGTCCTTTGCCAGCGCGCTCGTAACCAAAGCTTCGGAAGTCTGCCCAGAACTGCCAGCCCGCAATGCCGCCGAGAGGGACATGGCCATGAGGACTTCATTCTCGCCAGTGTTCAAGGTCTCAACCTCCGCCACGGTATGGTTGGCATCTCCGCAAGCCTCAGCAATGCGCACCTGCTTTGCCGGCGCGGCCTTGCCCTTGGCCCGGCCCAAACCAGCCCCAGGCTTGGTACATTCTGGATCGCCGCTCCAATGGCCTGGGAGACCACAGTCGAAACAAAGATGCTTGCCAGACGCCTTCTTGGCGGCTATCGCTGCTTTGCCCCGGCCTTTGCCTCCACTGGCTGCCGCTGAGGCATTCAACGCAGGGCCCTTGTAGCCCCTATCTTTGCGGACCTCAGCCAGCTTCACGCGTGCCTCCCTCATACTCACCAAAGCCTCCGCCGACGCCTCGATCTCCGTCTCCAAGGCCTGTGAACGCAGGGTCGATGCCCTCCTCCTCAGCCTGCGCTATCTCCTGGGCCAAGCACTGCACCTCTGTCTGCAGCACCTCTTCCAAGGAGATGCCCTCGCCAGCCTGGTCCGACGCCGCAGCCTCGTCCTCTGTCTGGTCCACGGCCGTCTCATCAAGGGTTTCGGGCTCCTCCGTCTCGGTCGCATGCACCTGTCTCGGGGGTCCCCTCCGCGAGCCAGCCAAGGAACTTGCAGTAGAGAACGTCGAGGGACGCCGCGAAGAAGTATTCGAGGAGGTTGCAGCAGTGGATGGGGTTGCCGAAGGCGCCGATGCAAACATTCTCCTGATACTTAATTTCCCACTGCCCTTCTCAAGCTTCCGGTAAAGCGGGTCTTGCAGATGAAGGTCACGGAAAAGTCGAAGGCACTCGGACTCAATAGTCCCACATGCCTCGGCACCCTGAAGGGCAGTGTCCAACAGCTGTCGTCGAAGAGCATCCAGGCCGAGCTTCTCCTTGAAGAACCAGCCCACCTCCGTGTCGGGGAGCTTGACACCTTCTGATCTCATATCACTGACAACCGTCCTGAACCGAGTGGCGTAGTCAGCAACTCGTTCTCCAGGACGTCGCGCCAGGTGCAAGTAGAACTGGGTCCTCAGCTCCCCTCGCCGGACTGGCCGTTCAGGCCTTCCAAGGCAGCCATAAGCTTATTAAGTCCGGCCAAGAGGTCCTCTTCGACGATCGTGACATCCTCGCCGGTCTCAGGGTCTTTCGCCTTGACCGCCTTCTGGTACTCCAGCTCGTCGGGGCTGAACTCTTCTCCTCGCTGGCGAACAGTTCCGCTTTGTCTCATCAGGAATCGGGCTGCTAAGTTGAACTTTCTCGTGCCTTCCAAGTCCAGCGAGGAAGTCCACCAGCCCATCTCGCGCTTGAAGGCGCGCCAAGTCAGCGGCGAGCCATCCCAGACGGGACACTTGCTCCACACTCCACCATAGTCACCTCCCAGATCGGCCATCACGGCGTCGAGGAAGTGAATTCGCTGGCCCAAAAAGTTCCGGGCCGCCGTGCAAAGTGACACAAAGACCAAGTCCCCCAGGCAAGGCTTGCCCTCCAGCTGAGCTTCCAGCCGTCAGGTAGCCGATGATCGGTTCAGGGAAGACGAGGTCACTCGGGTTGAACACGAAGCGAAGCCAAATGCGCAGCAGCAGCGAAGCTAGGCCCATGCACACGCCCCGGCACTTTCACCACTCAGGCTCCGGTGCCACTGAAGAAGGCAGCCTATGAACCCACAGCAAAGCAGGGCCCACGCGGCCTACGCTCCTTTTCCTTGCCGCAAGCCAACGGCTGAAGGCCTAAGCCAAAAGGTGATGGCGGAGAAGAGCTCAGCCATGCCATCGATGCCTGATGCAGGTTTCTACACGTGTGATTGAGTGTGAGTGCGTGTGAGTGCGTGTGATTGCGTGTGATTGCGTGAGATAACGTGTGACGGCGTGAGTTTGCGTGTGATTGCGTGCGCCTGCATGTGTGCGTGCGTGCGATCGCGTGCGCCTGCGCGTGCGATTGCGTGCGCGCGCGCGTGTGATCGCGCGCGCGTGCGATTGCGCGATCACGCGCGCGCTGCGCGATCGCGTGCGCGCGCGATCGCGTGCGCGCGCGATCGCGTGCGCGTGCGCGTGCGGTGCGATCGCGTGCGGCGTGCGCGTGCGATCGCGTGCGCCTGCGACGCGCGCGCGTGCGATCGTGTGCCCGTGCGATCGCGTGCGCGTGCGATCGCGTGCGCGTGCGATCGCGTGCGCGTGCGATCGCGTGCGTGTGCGATCGCGTGCGCGTGCGATCGCGTGCGCGTGCGAGCGCATGCGCGCGCGATCGCGTGCGCGTGCGATCGCGTGCGCGTGCGCGTGCGATCGCGTGCGCGTGCGATCGCGTGCGCGCGTGTGCACACGTGCGCGCACGTGTATGCGCATGCGCGTGCGCATGCACTTGTGCGTGCGCGTTTGTGTCTGTAATAAAGTATGTATGTACGTATGCATGCACGTGCGTGTATCCGCGTGTGCGTGTGTGTGTGTATGTACACATGTATGTATGTTTGTATGTCTGTATGTACGTGTGTATGTTTGTATGTGTGTATGTGTGCATGCGTGTATGTGCGTACGTATGCTTATATGTCTGCGTGCAAATACGTGCACGCATGCGTATGTGTGCGTGCGTGCGCGTATTGTGTCGCAGTATGTGTCTGTATGTGTATGTCGTAAGTGCACGTGTATGTGTCTGTGGCGTATGTGTATGTACGCGTATGTGTATGTTTCTGCACGTCCTGTTTATGTAGCCATATACATATACATATACACATGTGAATATATGCTAGTCCCCATGCCAAAATACGGAATGACAGGTGCACTTTTCTGATCAGTGGCTGCTCATCCTTTTTGCGCCAAGATGGTGAGCCTTCACTGTACACCGCTCACGCATGCCTCACTGATGAGGCTACTCGGCAAGCTGCAGAGGTGACAGCTAGGCCTTACATTAACGTGCCAGAAAAGAATGCCAAGCGCCCAGGGACAGACAGCCTTTGATTATGTGACCATGAACGCATCAAAGTTTAAGCCTTTGGCATTGTCTGTCTTGCCAGATGGGATTGCTGGGCTCACCTCCCATTGATAGGCCAGCGAAATGGTGGATGCTTGTCTAAGGTCGCCTCATGTCGCCTCTGCAGTCTCGGCTGGATGCTGATCCAAGGCAAGATTGAAGTCGGAAAGGTCGTCAAGAGTGCAGACCTAGCCAGAGACCGATCATTGTTGAAATCTAATACAATGGCTCTGACTAGGACGTTCGCTTCCAACGCCTCCACTGTTTCTCTTCCCCTCCGCCCTCCCCCCACCACCCCATCAAACTCTTAATGTCCCGCACCGTTCGGCCTCTCCTTGTCCATGTGTCAGTGTGTGCATGGCTGCATCTTTTTGCAGTACGCCATGACCTTGAAAACCCCAACCATTGCGTGTTTCTTTGCCGCCGGTGGCTCTCATGAGTCATTCAACATGTCTTTTGTGCTACCGATTGTTGTCCGTTGCCAACTGGCGGGCCACAAGCCACAATAGATCGAATGCATTTGGTCACCCACACTTGGTGCCCGAAATGCCGCGGAGGACAAAAGTGCACATAAAAGATGTGAAAGGTTCTCAATGGTTCTCAAGTTGTGCAAGCTAAACTTGGGCCGCTGCCTGGCGGCGCACGAGGCTCCAGTAGTACCCCTGTTTAGCCAGAAGCTCCTGCTCGAGACAGGATCGGCGATGATTCTCTCTGCGACTGAGACAAACAGTACAACCAGTAGTTAAGACAGTTAAGCACCGGCATCATAGTGGGGCAGGCCTTGGGAGAGCCACGCTCTACAATCTGTCCGTCCCTCATGCAAACAATGCTGTGAGCATTCCTGATGGTACCTGTGACAAACCGCGGCAACATTGCACGGCATGGCACGGCACCCTAGTGAAAAAAAAACACCACTCGTGAGCAACTCTGCTTCTGTGGGGCACTGAGGCGGTGTGCGATGACGAGCGTCGTTCGCCCCACCATGACAGAGTCCAGCGCGTCCTGCAAACGTGAAATTATACAACCACGGCACAGATGTCGTCTTCACGACGACACACATCTGAAAGACTTTCAGATGTGTTTTGCAAATGCCTGCACAGCCCCTTCGGCTTCTGCATCAAGCGCGCTTGTGGCCTCAAGATGTTTATGGACCAAACTTAAGTTGCATTTCAGGATGACGGTGAGAGTCCCAGCAATATTCCACAACACTCTGTCTGCTTTACTCCGCCGAAGCCCTTGGTGTCTCGCTGGTACCCACAACAGTCAACCCTCCCACCAGAGCCCGCGGACAGCCCCCCTACACGAACCTGCTTGGAATTTCTGGACTTTTCGGTTTCTTGGATTTTAAGGGACCACCGCAAAGCTTGGGACCTTTCATTGTCCTCGAAGGACCAGCTCAGCCGCCCTGGCCGATGCGGGCCGAGTCCCCTGCTTCATCGAGAACCAGGATCTGAGGCTTGAGGATGACCGCTCTCGCGATACTGAGCCGCTGCCTGCAGTTCGAGGCTGCGGCACGGCCTCACGATGTGATATAGTCCATCCGTACTGGGGGTCATGCTTCTGTCCACCAGAAATATGAGCACCTTGATCGCCTCAGATGTCGTGATCTTAGCGGGTGATGTGACCACAGGAAGCGGTGAGGCCGAGGCGATCCGATGCGATCACAAGAGAGATTGCTAAAAACAGATAAAATAGCCGCGACCTCATTTACCCGAAGGACACCGATGCAGCAGCGCCAAAACACAAAGCCTTATGAAGCCTCAAGCTGGCACCCGGCCGTGAACAAGATTGGCCAGGAATGGATTCAAACATAGGCTTCGGCACTAAAGCTATGTCAAAACCTTCTGCCGTACATCTGTCTTGGTCACTCCTGTACCGGTGCTGTTTATTGCTGCATATTTGGTCGAAGAGCATCCAACAGCTGGAGCGAAAATGTGACGTGCAGCAGTGCTCAATATAGCTGCGCGGAGACATACAATGATTTATGATAGATCATACATGATCATACACACATGCACGAACGCAAACACACAACACACACACACACACGTACGCAAAAAAAAGAGTAAACAAATTGCAGGAGAGGAGTACCACTTGCCCATCCACTTGCCCGGAACCGAGTTGTTAAGTTCCAGGCCCACATAAGTGTCGTAGCCAGCTGGAAAGCCGATGATGAAATCGTGGGCCGAAGCCATGCGAGCAGCTGCCTGTGGAGGCACTGCACGCCACCTTGCAAAGACCTAGCACGGACTGACCACGCAAGTGACGTGATGCCGAAAAGCCTCGATCTCTTCATCGGGCACATTCCTGCCACTGACTAAACTTCCAAGAAGACGACAACAACAACAACAACAACAACAACAACAACAACAACAACAGCAGCAACAACAACAAAAAGCGGTCTCTTGGAGTGCGCACCTGAGAAACTGAACGTCTGCCACTGGAGATCACTGGAGACGAGAAGCAAGAAGGAATGTAGAAGGAATGTAGAAGGAATGTAGAAGCAATGTAGAAGCAATGTACAAGCAATGTAGAAGCCATATGAAGCAATGCGCCAGTGTTTTTTTCGCCCGTTTCCGCCTCTTTTTTGCAATTCCTAAATCGCCCACCGGCTCGGAGCTGCACCATGCTGCACCTACAGTATCATATCTCCGAATACCTCCCATCCTCTCGGCTCTTACTGCCATATGCCCAACCAAGTTGCCACACCCTCGGCCCCCCCTTTTGAAGGGAAACTGAGTATACGTACCATGCCCAGCCTGGGATTCAAATAATAGAAGCTACTGGTATCAGCAATGCGCACGCCTGTCAGGGTTTCGGATTTGTGTTCGTCTAACTCACGCTATCATGTCTCTTCAATGTTCAATTCAAATCACTCACGGCTCATTCGGGGTGAGGCTGCCACGCCTTCGGCAACCATATGTCAGATTGTTGCGAATGCTCGTGTCGAAGAGCAGAGGCTGCTGAGCAACCTCGAACGAGAAACAAACGCCTCCTGACCTTTCTAACTTCTAAGTCCCATTGTAGTCAACATAAATATACTGGCAGCTGGGCAGACACGAAAATGAAGTGTGAGAGACCACCAAGCAGGATCGTGCAGGGAGTGCCATCAGCCCTACAAGGGGCGGAAGCTCGCCGGACGACTGGGCTTTCCATGTGATATGAGGCGCACATTACAGGGCCTGTTTGGTATCTCGTCCGTACTTGGTAAGAGTAAGTGTGGATAGCTGGACGGGTCTTCGACCGACCAGTGCGTCAGGTGTACTAGCAGAAGCCCATGTCGTGTCTGATTTTCGCTCAGTAACTAAGGCCATTTGCGAGTGCAGCGCGCATGTATCCCAATCGCAAAGACTGACGTTGTCAATGGAGATCTCACCGACCTGAGAGACGAGACAACCCTGGACAATACGAACACAAGGTTGCAAAGCCCCTCGCTTGCCCTGATGAAGACTCTGAATACTCCTCTTGAACCACCTGCAGAGGCGGTGACCACCGGATCGTAATGACGGAAGAGCAGACTTGCAATCGTGCTTTTCCCGCTGCCAGAGGCGCCAACCTGGCCGTTGAATTCATTTTGGATGTGTTAACTGTACCCTAACGACATGACACTCTGGGCATCATACGGTCAGTTCTCTAAACGATAGCCTGTATTTTGGGCTCCTTTGATATATGTGAGGCCGGATCATGACCAGAACCCAGAACTGAAATGGATCATGGAGTCACACGGGATCCACATCTGTGGGCCAGACCAGTGCAGTCATCTGGCCACGAGCCATTTGAAAACTCACGCCCCTGTCGAAGAGAAGGACCAGCATCTACAGTACACTGGCTTGCCGTCTGAATGTGCCTGAGGACTTGAACATCCGGGCGAGCAGGATAGGCAAACCTGAGATGTCCGCTAAACATTCTGATGTCCATGGCAGATAAGAACGACACTAACCCGACCTGGTGAATAGCAAATATAGCAACAAAATGGGGTTCGCGACACCCCAGCTTGAACCATCGGGACACAGCCTAGGGCTTCAGCAGCGTGCCGGCAAGAATCAACAAAGACCCCCCCTCCCCCCTGAGACCCTTGAATCCTCTATCGGGCCTTCAGGGACATGCGTCATGTTCGCCAGCAACATACTAATCAAACCAAACGCCAAGTACCGGACTCAACTTCTCGGAATTCTATGTCTCCGCCAACCTGTCCAGTGTCACTGTAGCCAGCAGTGTATCCAAGACTGAAGCGATGCTGGTGAATCCTGGCCTCAGCCTTGTGCATACCTGAAACAACTTGAGGAGTGCGGTCCATGAACTCGAAGTGATCCAGCAAAAGGTCATGACCTCGCACTTACACAGCAGAGCATCGCATGAGTAACACCTCTTCGACGTTGCATGGTCATGAGGGCGCTTGACATTCGGTCAACATCTTTCGGGGCATTCACTCTTCTACGGGGTGTACTATTGGAAGAAATTGCTGTTGTCCGAACATGATTGAGACTGTAACGTCGCTGGAGTTCGAGGAACTGGTGACGCACACGCTGCACCAGGCCACCTACCTTGTCAGTGCGAAAACTTGCATGCCAAGCTTGACAATCAACCGTTCGAGCACTGTCACAGCCACATGTGCTTGTGCACGCATGCCTGCTGAATGAGCAGCAAATATGCCGTCATGTCGCCTGCCGAGAAATCACGCCTGTGGCTCGGCAAGCGTCTGCTGGCTCAGCGTGAGGCTTGTGTGCGCTGACTGGGTCTTAAGAAGTCTGAGATTGAAGCTCCATCCACACGAGCCCACACCAAAGGCAAAAGCAGTATACTGCACGTTGAGATATGTCAGGCAGGAGGTGCGCAACTCCTGGCAAGGTAGTGCCATGATAGTTTCTCATTTTTGCATCGCAACGGCAATTTCCCTCGACTTCCTCGGTTTTCTACATCCTGCTGATTCATCTAAGTTCTGCTAGATCTGATCCAGCTGCCACTTGCTGTCAAAGCTTCTCAAGAAGTGCGAGGCCCGGGCCGTGTTTTAGTCCACGCACCCTGGAAGTCCAAGGACCTCCATCTTGGGATGTGTCCTTCAAAAGGAGTCCAACATGGCGCAACTAGAGTTGGGCTCGACGGACTCCACAATGCTCCACAGCCCAGGCCTTCATGACATCTTTGGCCGCAATTGAGACAAGGGCAACGTGCTTGTCCTGCAAGCTCTTGCAATGTCACTTTCAGAGCACCGGGCTTCCCCACCACGACGCCACCGCAGAGACGCAGCCATCATTGCCTCTCTGCTGAAGCACTTGACGGTCCTGAGACATCATCGAAGCGTGCCGCTCGAGAAGTGCAGCTGCTGCGCGTCTTCCAGTTTTTGTCTGAGGTCCGGGCTTGATCATCGAGACGGCTTCGTGCACGACATTGGACCTGTGTCTGACAGGATTGTCACACAAATGTGGAGCGCCATCTGCCAGTCTGCATGCCACATGTTCGACTCAGCCACTATTGAATCTATTTAGACTCTCTCGGCGCGTCTAAACTCCTCGGGGTCTGCACGACATAGCATTCAAGCCATCTTCACGGCGAAGCTGTGCACGAAGGCTTCTCTCCCAGTACCTCTCTTCGAATGGTTTCGAAATGGTCATGGATGTCTCGCAGCCGAGAATTCTCAAAGCACCAGAGTGCCTTCGGATGATCTGCTCCATCATGGGTAGCAGCACAGTATAGGCCAACCTGAACACAAAACCAATCAAGAGGCTCAACAGGGTGAGATTCAACATTCAACTTAGAGGCTCCAGAGCTTGCAGCAACATTCACATCATTCACTTGGTCATTTCCCCTTCAGGATTAAGGGTTACGATTTAACCCTCCCTGCACTGCAGTACCGCAAGGCCACTTCTTGTCAGGCTTCTGCAGTTCTGGCAGGACAAGCCGCCAAATCAAGTCCCGGGCGTCATCAACGGCGATATTGCGAAAAGAAACACCATCTGCGTGACAAGCTTGACCTCCGAAGACTGGCCATGTCTCTCGTGCGAGCAAAGTGCCGTCTCCACATGTCTCCACCATCTCGAGGGCAGGGCAGTATCTGCAGTCATGCCCCATACCCACTCCGTCACCTACCGTCGACTGTGCATCATCGGGCGCGCAGCCGAAACACGTTAATGTCCGAACAATCGGCCGAACTTAAGACATCTCTCGACAACACCGGGAGGCGCCTCGCTCAGCGCCCTGAGCTCCACTTTGCGGACCAGGTCACGCTGCCGCAAGGTGTCGTAAAGAGCCTTTAGGAAGGCACGATGAAAAGGAACACATAAAACCCCGTCTGTGTCGTATGAAATGTTTGAACTTTCTCTGGTCTCTGAGAGAAGCCTATAGCGCATTGCCGCGAATGGCCAGTTAATCCGCCAAACCCAGGGCACGGCACCAGTGAAGTTTTTTGTATCTTGCCCCCTGCCCTTCCCGCCCTCCCTGAATCTCCTCAGACCGCGCCTGTCATCGCCTGTCCCTTTTTCGGGCTGCTCCTGGAATGGAATGTTGAAAAGGGCTCGAACGCCTGCTCCGCCCTTCGTGGACTCCGTCCCCTGCTCGCCTTAAACCCGGAGCTCCAGTGCCCGCTCCGCCCTTCGAATCTTTCCACTGCTCTTCGAATTTTGAAAGATCCCTGCAAGACTCCGCCTGCTCCACCTTTCCTGGACTTTTGAGGCCCCACAGAGAGATGTGCAGCCCCCCTCAATGCTCGGAGGCGGGGTTTGTGGACAGGTTTCATGGTTGGCGCAGCCCCTTCACTGAAAATGCTTCCTGGCAGAGCCCCCCACCCCCTCCCCCATCTGCAAACACACTGCTAGAGGGCAGGGGGGGGGGAAGGGGGGCAGCGGGGGATGAAGGGGGGATTGGGGTTTGGGAGGAGGGGGGGGGGGGGAAGCCACCCACCCCCCATGTGCAAACACAATGCCCGGATGAATTACACGGTAGAGCAGCTGCGATGGAGTACTGAGTTAAAATAGGTGGACGCCAAACTTTTGCTTAGTACTGTGATTTTTGTTGCTCACATTGTTCTTGGTACTTGTGGTGCTGTTGTCGTTGTCGTTGTCGATGTCATTGTCGTTGTCGCTGTCAATGTCGCTGTCAATGCCAGTGTCGCTGTCAATGTCGCTGTCGCTGTCGCTATCGCTGTCGTTGTCGTTGTCGTTGTGGTTGTGGTCGTCGTTGTCGTCGTCGTCGTCGTGGTCGTGGTCGTGGTCGTCGTCGTCGTCGTCGTCGTCGTCGTCGTCGGTCGTCGTGGTGATGGCTGTGGTCGTGGTCGTGGTCGTGGTCGTGGTCGTGGTCGTGGTCGTGGTCGTGGTCGTGGTCGTGGTCGTGGTCGTGGTCGTGGTCGTGGTCGTGGTCGTGGTCGTGGTCGTGGTCGTGGTCGTGGTCGTGGTCGTGGTCGTGGTCGTGGTCGTGGCCGCCGCCGCCGCCGCCGCCGCCGCCGCCGCCGTCGTCGTCGTCGTGGTTGTTGTGTTGTTGTTGTTGTTGTTGTTGTTGTTGTTGTTGTTGTTGTTGTTGTTGTTGTTGTTGTTGTTGTTGTTGCTAAGATTCTGGCCCAAGATGAGGATTTTACTTCTCGTAGCCGTAGCGAGCTTTCTTGGGTGCCTGGGTCCCAAGTCCCAGGGTCCAGCCATGGATCAGAATCGAGGGTTTCGGGAAGTAGCGCCCCCCGATGAAGCTGAGCAGCATGCGCAGCGAAGTCAGCTAACCATGAACAAAACCGGCAAGCGAAGCTACCAAAGAGCTTGTAAAGTTGCCCTGGCGAAGGGAGCAGCACTTTACAAAGGCCGTCTTCTGACAGCTCAGGCTCTAGGAGCTCATGAAGGACAATTCGCGTCTCCTGCGAAAGCGGAGAGGCGTTCTTTTCAACCGAACAGACAGATCCATCACAAATTTGACATGGAAGTCCTTACTTGGAACGCAGGCTCAATTACAAGCCGAGTTTGGAACGAGATTCTGGCCCTTTTGGCAACAACAGAGTACAAGAACATCAAAATCGTTTTCCTGCAGGAATCGCATTGGCAGCAGGACCAGATCTACAGCTCAGGCCCGTGGTCAGTTCTAACCTGTGGCTCAACAAGCAGACACAAGGCTGGCCTGGTTGTCTTGGTGCATAGCTCACTGGCTCCTCTTTCAGAAATTCGCAGCACTTCCATTGTTCCAGGGCATTTGCAGCACGTCATGATCCCGTGGCAGAGATCCAGAATACATCTCCTGAACCTGTACCAGCACGTCTGGGATTCAAAGCTCTCGAAGACGGAAAACAGAGGCAGGAGAAAGGACGTGATGACACAGCTCGAAAATCGAATACAGAGAGTCCCACAACGTGACTTCTTGATTGTGGCTGGGGATTTCAATGCGCATGCGGTGACTGAACGTCCTCATATCGGACCAAGTGTGCCTCATCGAGTACGGTTTGCAAATGCGGATGTGAAGACACTGCCCTCGCTCTGCAAATCCTGTGGACTCACTGCGCTGAACACATGGGCTTCTGGCCATCGCAGTACGTATGCTAACAGTGATGGCACATATTCCTCTCAGATCGATTTTTTGCTGGTCAGACTGCACGATGCTCGGAGGAGATCCAAGGAGGCCTACTCGGATAAGAACTTTCCTGTGGCTGCCTACAGAGATGGATCAAAACACTTTCCAGTGCGAGCTACTCTGTTCATTCCTCCTTACAGTCCTACACCCAGCAAGCCACGGCCGTTTGATGCCACAGCCCTGGATGCGAGCTTTCGGCGGAAAGATGACAACTGGCAGGCATACTCACATCGTCTGACGGAAGCAGTGGTGAGGACAATGCAAGAGAGACCGTCTTGGCAAGAACTGGATGAAGTGATGGTTCGTGTATCAGCTGAGCACTATCCTCCTCCACGCAAGTCTCAGCCAGCAGCAGGTCCAATTCATCAGGAATATTGGAAGAAAGTGCGGCAAATCCAGGCGCACAAGAGGGCTGGAACCGAGCATAATTCAGAATGCCAGAAGCTTGTGGAGGACATCAAGGAGGAGGCGCGGACTTTCAAAAAACAGCAAAAACAAAGAAAGCTAGAGAAGCAAGAGCAGTTGCTTCTACAAGCCCAGGAAGATAAAAGGCAACAATCCCACAAACTGGCTCATACTCTCAGGAAACTTGCTCCGTGGCGCCCAGTGCAGAGAGTCAACCTAAGGGATCAAGCAGGTGAGCCGCTTGATACGGAGGCCTCACTAAAAACTATGCGCGAATACTCGAGTCAAATCTTCTCCAAAAGTCCTCCTTTGCACTCAGTAGCTGCTGTGCCCAGAACAGCGATCACCGCCTTGCAGGTATCCTCACAAATCAAGACAGTGCCAGTGGGGAAAGCAGTCCCCAGCACCTCAGCCCCAGTATCAGCTTGGAAGAGTCTAGGTCCTGAAGCCCACGAACACATAGCAAGTCTAATCAACTCTGAGGTGTCCCAATCAGAAATTTCCCCTTATCTAAAGGACCCTCGAATTGCATGGATCCCCAAGCCGGGCAAGCCAGCCACCGCCATGCAAAACCTGAGGCCAATAGGAGTCATCAGCGTGCCAGGCAAAGTGCTAGCAGGCGCAGTGAAGACTCGCATTGCACCAGCACTGCAGGTGAGCTCACAGCTTCAGCCTCAATTTGCGTACATCCGGCAGAGGGGGGTGCGGGACGCTATCGCGAAAGCATGTCAGCACCTTGATTTCGCGCAGCAGCTCCGTCAAGAGCATCGCAGGGACCTGCACAAGTCCCAACGCGGAGCCAGGCAGGCTCAGCTGTCAGGGGCACTCACTATTTCGGTTGATCTGAGCAAAGCTTTTGATTCTGTTAATAGACATGAGCTGCTAGCTGCCTTGGATCGCCTGGGAACAGACCCTGTTACGAAAGAACTGGTAGTTCAACTACACAGTGAGACCTCCTACAACATGGGCACAAGTGGACTAGAGATTCAAGTTCCCACTTCTTCAGGAATCAAACAAGGTTGCAAGCTAGCCCCGGCATTGTGGTCTGCGCTGACACTTCTAGTCATGAGCAGAATGGAGCAGAAATGGGGCCCAGATAGCAAGCAAGCTAGGGACATCCTAACGGTCTTTGCAGACGATTTCCTGCTCCAGGAAACCTTCTCGAGCTTTCCTGAACTTCAGAAGGTCCTGCTCAGAATAGAGGCTCTCTTTCAGTCTCTTGAGGACGTGGGGCTGGAAGTCAATCCAGCGAAGTCCAAAGCCTTGCTAATGGTTCAGGGCACTCAGCAGTCCATCTTTCGCAAGAAGCACACGATGCGCAAAGAGAAGCAGTTGCACATCGTCCTTCCCTCAGGACATAAGATTCCGATTCATCACAAACTAACATATCTAGGGGTGCAGCTCAGCTATGGATCCTACAAAGACCAGACTGTTGACTATAGGATCGCCCAAGCTCAAGGCAAGTTTGAGCTACTTCGACACATCCTGTGCTCCACTAAGGCCCTGGAGGCTTCAAAGAAGTTGGAAATCTGGAGGGTTTATGTGGAATCCTCACTCTTGCATGGGCTTGTGGCCACTGGCATCACCTCATCAGGTCTTCAGAAGCTCCAGAGTAAATACTCGAGGATGCTAAGATCCATCTTTAAGCAACATCAGCACTACAGCCATATTGACACGAAGACTCTGTTCGAGCAATATAAGGTTCAGACTCCTCAAGCGGTTTTGATCAGCCAGATGAAAAACTATCAAGACGCACTAGATGCCTGTCAGAAGCACAACCCGGATCAGAACATACAGTGGTATCTGGGACTTAGAGGTAGGATTGTTGCGCTGCAACAGGAGCTTCAGAGCATGCAATTGGACCTGACCGAGGCAGACCAGGAGGTACCGTGCTCTCTGTGCGATCGGAAATTTTCCAGCGCTAAGGGTCTTCAGCAACATACTCTGGTGAAGCATGGAGGACAGCGTGCGAATCAGCTAGGCCCAAAATTTCAGGTCACTGTGCATAGCTGCAAAGGACTTCCGCAATGTGCGGCATGCAACAGGCAGTTGCGCACAATGCATCAACTTCGCAGACATGTGGAGTCAGGCATTTGCCCTCAGCTGCACGAGCTGAAAGAACGAGCCAAATCCTGTACAAGCTCAGAAAGCATAGCTATGATCTATCAGTCTAGCGTGCAGGAACAACTTAAGAAGGACCCTGATCTTCTACTAAAAAAGAGACATGTCACTCAGCATCTATTAACGAACTGCAGTCTCTGTGGGCAATATATTGTTGGCCACAAAGGAGTGAAACAGCACATTC